ATGATTAAAGATGTTATTGATATACTTAGGTACGTTACATATAAATTAACGTCTAATCTTATAATTAACTAGGTAAAAATATGATAGATTGATAACAATAATGAATTATCTATATTGTTACAGGTGTTATTTTGGTAATTAGTGCGCTACAAATACATATAACAATCTATATGTATTGTTAGCAGTCTAACAATAGAATTATAAGAGTAATTCAGATAGATACACACTAATATATATGTTACCATCAATCTAATAGGATCATTGTTTGTTCTAGCAATTGAATACGAAGTTGTTTTTACTTACAAAGAAATCAAATCAATGTTAGTTTTTTATTGAAAGTTCAGATCAGAGGTGAAATTTTATCCAGCTTTGATCATATCAATTTAACTTTAGATCTGACTTTCCAATAATCAGATATTGTGATGGTGATTTCATATTGTTAGAAATATTTTTTTGAGCATACAATCTTGAAGATGAATGTAAAAAAAATATAAGAGAAACTAAATAGAGAGATGAACGATGGAGAAGATGAAAGTGAAAAAATTTACATAAGAGGCATAAGAATATACAAACGAAGGAAAGAGAAAGAAGAAAGATAAAGGAGAAAGAAAAAGAGATATTATAGACATGAAATGAGAAGTGTAAGGGTGTATTGGTATTAAAAAAAATTGAACAGTTACTCAAATAGTGTATGGTTATTTTTGCAAATACGAGTTTAAAGTTGGTCATTTGTTATAATTATTCAAAATAAAAAACAAAATAATAAATGGAAGGAAAAAAATCTAGTGGAGTGGATTAGATGCATGCAAAGACAAAAAACGCCAAGCAAGCCGTTTACGGGGTGTGGCCTTGTCGACACAAACATGTGAAACCAATACTGGTTGCCTTATTCTCTAGCTTGTTCCCTTTTTTATTTTAATTTTATTTTACCAAAACTAATTTGATTTCCCCTCTATTATTTTACATGTAATCATCTTCCTCGGATTCTCATTTCTCAGATCTTATAGCTCCCATTAAGATTGTTTTATTTAATAGTTATCCAAAATATAAACATAACTCGAATCATTTGTCCTTTTGCACCGTTGTGTCTGGTTCGCCGTCCACGCAATAATTAATAACATCCATACGTAACTTACACTATTTTTATCTAATAATTGTGACCTCAAACTATAAGTCCAGACTGATCTTGGTAGCATGTAATTAACATAGTCCATTTAAATGTCTACAATAACTAACTATCATTGAAATAGCTAGCAGGGGAAGGATTAGTATCATATATATTCCCTAATCACATAATGGAATCATTAAACCATTTAGCTACCATGTGAAACAAGAAAAAACATAACGATTAGAACAAGCGAAGTCGAATAATACTTTGAATGGTGACTCAGAATGATTCTATATACTAACAAACTAAACTGATTTGTTTAGACATTTATAATGATCGAAACTGTTTTCCTTTTCCAATTGTTTGGATAGAAAAATTCCGAAGAGTGCTTTAAAATGGTAAAATCGTTGTTTACTAACATTATATATTATTTATAAGTCTAGTTGCCTTTTGTACGATTCTTGTCTCGCTCGTAAACCTGATATCCCTTACAACATGCACAAGTAAGAATGGAGTTTAAGCCACCTTGACAGAAATAAGGTGAGAAAATTAATTTAGTAGTCAATTTGGATTTTATACTATTGTCTGAAATATAGATGATTTAGACCATGTCTATATGACTATATCAGATATATGCTCATGAATCAAATATACATGATCTAAAAACCTATACTTTCTTTGTTAATTAAACATAACTAAAAGAAAGCAAAACCTATACTTTCTTTGTTAGTTAAACATAACTAAAAGAAAGCAAAACAAAAATATTCAACGAGACTTACGATTTTGGAATATGAGATGGAATTTGGGCATGATTATTGAGTTTATGAACTTATGGTTTATTTCCTTGGTAAATCACTTAGAACATGTTTAAAGATCCTAATAAACTTCTAGTGTATCTAGACGTCGTTAGCAAGATTTGAACTCGAGTTCCACTATTCCTACGACTTTTTTTTGTCATCTTCCGACGACTTAACATGATTGAGTTTAGCTTCAAAATCTTTAACTCACCTCCATTTATAGATTAACTAGTTTATGATCCAGTTACTTATAATTCTAGTGTTAGATAAAACTTTCATATTCGATCGATCCCATAACATCAGGGTGGGCAGTGGCGGAGCCACATTGTTGAAGAAGGGGGCGTATGACTCCAATGATTTTTAAAAATTAGTGTAATTTATTAGAGTTTAATGTGAAAATTTTCTGGCTCCGCTCTCAGGGTGGGTGCCGTTCACTATGCAGTTTGCGTTTTGTATCCCTATATTATAAAAATTAGGACAACAGATATTGAAAAATACAAAATCTAGTTCCGTTACATCAATCGCTGTTATTGAAAAGATGCAAACTTCAAAAATTCATTTAAAATAAGCAGGACCATTATATATTTCTACATGCGCGTGCATAGTATATTGTTTTGATGTGATGGTTCGATTAATTAGTTAAGTAGGAAATCAGAAGCGGGTGTAGTACACACTTGATGATCTAATTTCATGTTAGCTAATGTTTAAATATGATTAACGGAGATTAAAAAGCAAGTGGGAAGAGATTAAAGGCGCAGAAAGAAGAATCCTAGGCTCGAGGGATCTCGAAAGGCCTATGAAGTCTATTATTTCCTTACTCCACGTTCCAACTATGATTTAGGCTTTTTGCCAGATTCAAAAATACAGTGTTATATTCACCTCGATCATAGTACATTATCAACTTCTGTCTTAGAATTTTAATACAATACTTCCTAAAACGAAACAATTAATCAAAAGACTTAACTTCATTTTTGGCAAGAAAATGGTGTTAGCGTTTTAATGACTCAACGCAACACATCGAAACTTACTTCGATGATATGATCCATTTAGAGAAAAAAGTTTAAGGGAGACTGAAATATATGGAGTCTATTTTTTCTTTTTCTTAAACTTACACGGTGAACTAGATTTTTTAAGAAAACATTTAGTCATTTTCTCTAAATTAATTTGTATAATTTGAATCTTAATATTTAAAAACTTTTTGACCAATATTTTTTTTAGTAATTTCTGTAAATTATTAATCTTCTGGATACCCGTTATAGACTTATAGTTTATTTGATTTTCCTTATGCAGTTTTTTGGCTTGGAACCCTTAATTTTATTCTTGTCGACTAATGGAAGCCATAATGTTTTTTCTTTCAGATTTTTAAATAAGATTTGATAATTGATATATAGTTAATGATTTACGGGAAATCTAATTTCTTGTAAATTGCAATCGCATAGTATATCGCACCGAAGAAAAGGATCCATTAGCATGTGTATGTAAAGCTTTACTAAGAAGATCCGAAGTAATAAACTATGACCCATTGACTTTACCATTCTACACAGTCAACGGCACCTAAAAATATGTATATGATTATGATGTTAATTTATTACCACTTTACCTTCTTAAGACATATGCATCATTTGTAGTATTTACGTAAGTATGTCAGCAGACGCATGCTGTATAGGAATTATGTACATAACTTGAAATCGGAATTAAACAAAGATAAAATATAAATTAATAGAAGGTGCTTTAATCCCCAAAAAATGATACTAGGTTTAAAGATGATAGAAATCAAACCATAAATTGAAATAAAAACATACTACAAACTAAAAAGAATAATTTAATTCCTAAGTAAGTACCCATCGAAAATTACCAATCTGGTATATAGATAAACTTGCCACTTTATTCATCATCAACGATTTCGATTGAACATGTAGTCATATTCTACTTTTTTTTTTTCTTATCTGAGAGTCATTCTATATTTTTTTTTCTCACATTAGACTGTTTTTTTTGTTGTAATTTGTTCATATCTATTGATAATCATTAGTGTTTCCCTAGTTAGTAACATGCGTAATTCTTAATTGTATGTTCAGTACTTTTATAATCTACTGTTTGAAGTCATATTATGAATTTGAAAGAAAAATAAAAACAGTTTTTTTTACGAAATAAATGTATTCGAAAAAGAAAATAAGACAACGTCCTTTTTTACTTCGAAAGAAGTGTTGTCGAAAAACAATTTGAAAATAACTGCGCATTGGGTACCTGTCTTATTCTGACAAATTTTGCTCCACCGTTTTTTTTTGTCGACAAATATTGCTCCACAGTTATTTTCAAATATTCACATAAGTCACAGTTAATTTGAAAACATGTTTATTTCAGATGATGAAAGCTAATTTTGTGTTAAGTAGTAGAAATTTCTACTAATGTGAACCAGATGTTGATTATAATCCAGTTGAGTTAGCTCAATTGGAAGAGTTATAGATGGCTTCATACAGTGAAGTAAAGTAATCTAACATTCAATTCGAGACCAGTGTTGCGACATTGGAGTAAAAATGAAAACCAGCATATATACTAATACAACTAAGCAAGCCTTAAGAGATTAGTATATAAAAAAATAGACCGGGTAAGATTCTGCTAGTCACTATTCGAGAAATGATGGGGCATTTTTTTTTGCAATTTGACTCTGGTCAAATGTGTTATGAATTATGACAGTGGAAGTAAATTATTGATCGTCAAAATTTTCGTGAGTGAATTCTCGAATGCTTTTTTTGACATGACTAGATATAATATTAATGCCTAGACAATTCATCTATAACTAGAAAACAACATAGATCCACAAAAGACTCAAACTTTGATTTATAAAATCTTCAGAAATTCAGGTAAATTTTGAATTTAGCTTTTTGAGATGGAATAGTGTATATCTCTTGAGGTAGGCGAAGGAAATATCAAAATATGAAAGGTTACATAAAAACAAATTTTTTTTTTTGGTTAAGAGCATATAATATGAAAGACCCGAAAACATATGCTATGGGTCCCACCATGTTTTTCAACTTGATAATCTATCATCTCTTAACGCTATTCACCAGAAAAACAAAAATTACACCAAACCCCAGAAAATTAAAAATAAAAAGAAAAAAACTTTTACTTTCTTCTCCTCCTCTCTTTCTCTCTGGATCCTCTTCAAGCTTAAGGCCACTAGGGTTTATCTGAGCTCCAAATCCACCCGATTTTAGAGTTTCTCAGCTACATTAGCTCTTTTCTTGGTAAAGGAAACCCTCTTCTTCCTTAGTTTTTTCGCTTTTGTTTTCTCCTTTACCTTTTTTCTCGCGTACGTCTTCATTTGCACTTTTTTTTTTCTTCTGTAACTCTTCGTTGATCGCCTTTTTTGATGAGATTTGGGGACCGTATTCAGAAGGTTTTCTTTTGGTGGGTTTCTCTGAAGATTGTTCCTTTTTCTGACCTTTCATTTTCTCTATGTGGTCTCACTGGGCTTTGCTCAGTTTTTCAATTCGTAATTAGGTTTATTTTAGTTTTTTGGGTTTGTTTCTCTTTGCTCTCACGCATTTGAAACCACTTGAGTCTCCATGATTTGACATTCGAGATTTGTTTGTGGGGTTTTAAAAACAAATTATGGAAATTATTGCATTTAATTGGATTTAGTCGAATCCTCCTCACTCCTGCATCAGCTACTATTCTTTGTTTATCAGTAAATTTTAACTCCATGAGATCTGAAACTTAGGACAATCTTTGATTCGTTCTGGTTTTGGTTGTTAGATCTCTTACCTAGCTCAAAAATTTGATCCTTTTTTCTTTGTTCTGTTATAACGCGGTTTGATTTTGGTGAGCTATAACGAAGTTTTTAACTTTGATTTCTTCTAATTCGCGTAAATGATTGGTCTATGGCTGTTGTTTTTGTTCGCATTACTCGCAAAGAATTTAACTTTCAAATGCTCAAAATATCATTATTTTCTATGAGAGTTTGCCTCTTAAAAAAATGTGTTCTTTTTCGCTGTTTTAATTTAATAGGTATCTCTATCTGTACTTGTGTAGGGTTCATGATTGAGTCTGCAAACTATAATGGCCTAAGCTATTTAATTTGCATTTGTAGATCTGTTGCTTCCACTTTAATATCGCCACTTTTCATTTATTTCCCTTAGTATTTATTTTCTCTTGTCATTCAATAAACATTGTTCTTCATTTGAAGTTACTCTATAATTGAAACTGTTCTTTAACCAAAATTTTTTCTGATGATTCCTTTTCAGGTAACTGTGATTGTTGCAGGTTCTTGAATTCAGTAGTTTAGAAACATATCAATGAAGATGAACAACTCGGCGCTGCTTTGATTTTTCTTTAGATACTGTAAAGAACCTGTTGCAATGGGATCATTTGCAGGTTCCTGCGAAATCGTTGAAGAGAAAGATGAAATAAGAATAGCAAAACATTCAGGGAGATATGGTATATCGGTTTTGGGATCATCAAGCAAAGATTTTGAGCGGAAGCAGCGAGAGTATTATGGTTCTCTTGAGTATGACATTGATAAGCTTTTTCAGTCTATACCTGTGAAACCATCGACGAGGCTAATGAGCTCTTCTTTCCATAATCTTGAGACGAGCGTGAGTGCCGGTCCAAGCAGGACCACGAGCCCTTCAAAGAGAGTCGCCATGAAAAAACCGGGGACACCTCAATCGCCTAGAGTTTTCGGTGTCTCTGATTCAGTTTCCTTGAAGCAGGCTCTGAGGGATCGTTGTATTTCCAAGGCCTCTGAAATGGCTGCTCAGAAACGGTTGTCGAAATCTGCAGCTGCGTCTCCGAGGGTCTCAGAAGCAGACAGGATAAAGAGTTTGTATAACCAAGTTTCGAGTGAATCTACTAGCAAGTCTGTGATTGTTCCTGTGGACAAGGGTAAAGGAAGCTTGGTTGAGACATCTTTGATGCCGGTAAACGACCAACCAAGCACTTCAAGAAGCGTGGTTGAGCGGTTTGAAGTGCCTCCACACTCCATTTCTGAGCCATCTCAAGTTGGAACCAGTTTGGGATTACAAAGTGTGGGAAATGAAATGCGGGAGGTTAAGCTGTTGCATAAAGCCAACAAATCTGGGTCTTGTCGTAGTTCTGGCAGTGGAGATTATCAGATAGAGTTAGATGAAAATGTTGCCTCTGCTTCCCCTCATGGGTTTGTTGAAGATGATGTGAAAGAAATAGACAAACATGTTACCTCACTGCCTTCTGATTCTAGCGAGAAAGAGAATGCGACGGAGCTTGAAAAGAAAATTCTCTCATCCACTCTCGATCTGGAACAAAACGGGAAGTTGGATAACGCACCTAGCTCAGTAACAGAGAAGAGCAAGACGATACGCAAGGTAACAAGAATGATTCCACGTCCCAAACAGCAGCCGAAAAAGAAGATTTTGCTTAAGAAGAAGTTGAAAATTGGGATCGTCACTACAAAAAAGGAAGAAGAAACCGATATTTCCTTAGATTCTAGTGCAAATAAACTTCTCTGCCAACGATGTCACTGTTCTTTAAAGAGCACCAGCGTAGATAACCAACCGCCCTCGTATACTACTAGTCATAATCCTGAGATTTGTTCAGACAGTTTGAACTCTATTTCAAATAAGAAAGGTAAAGAAGCTCATCATATAGCCTATGAGAACTCTTCTGGTTCTTGTAATGTTAGTCAAAGCTCTGAAGCTGAGATTGTCGTCATGAAACAAGATGTTTCCTCGAGCAATAACAGTGGAAATGGCGCAAGGGATGAAAAGGAAACAGAAATTCCAACTTCTAGTGAGAAATTCGAGTTCTCCTTGAGTTCAAAGGATAGTCTTGGGGATTATAGCAGGAGCACAAGCATGAGTGAGGAGAGCCATCTGAGCAGGTTTAGCTGTGGGAACAAGCCTCACATGTCGATGGATGTGAGATGGGAAGCGATTAAACATGTCAAGTTGCAATACGGCTCTTTGGGTTTACGACACTTCAACCTTTTGAAGAAACTCGGATGTGGAGATATAGGAACAGTCTATCTCGCCGAGCTGATTGGTACAAAGTGCTTGTTTGCCATAAAGGTCATGGACAACGAGTTCTTGGCAAGAAGAAAAAAGAGTCCAAGGGCACAAGCGGAACGGGAAATCCTCAAAATGTTGGACCATCCTTTTCTTCCTACATTGTATTCGCAATTCACTTCGGATAATCTGTCTTGTCTAGTCATGGAGTATTGTCCTGGAGGAGATCTTCATGTCCTCAGACAGAAGCAGCTTGGCCGGTGTTTCCCTGAGCCTGCAGCAAGGTAAAGATTACATTTTTACATTGCTTTTGTTTTGTAGATCAATCAATTTGCTGAAATTGATGATAAAAAATTTGTTTTTCAGGTTCTACGTTGCGGAAATTCTTCTTGCATTGGAGTACTTACACATGCTTGGTGTTATATACCGAGATCTGAAACCGGAAAACATTCTAGTCCGTGAAGATGGACACATCATGCTTACAGATTTCGACCTCTCACTTCGATGTGCAGTGAATCCAACTCTTCTCAGGTCAACTTCTCCACCAGGTACAGATCCTGCAAGGATGTCGGGTCCATACAACACGTCCAACTGCATACAACCATTCTGTATCATCGAACCATCTTGCCAAGTCTCATGTTTCAGCCCGAGGCTCTCTTCAAACCAACAACAAGGTAGAAAACCGAAAAGGACTGATCATCTTTCGAAAACCCAACAACATTTGAAGAGATTATTGCCTCAGCTCGTGGCTGAACCAACAGAAGCAAGATCCAATTCCTTTGTGGGAACACACGAGTACTTAGCTCCAGAGATCATCAAAGGAGAAGGACACGGCGCTGCGGTTGACTGGTGGACTTTTGGGGTTCTCCTTTACGAGCTTTTGTACGGGAAAACACCTTTCAAAGGTTACAACAACGACGAGACTTTAGCCAATGTTGTGTTACAGAACCTCAAGTTTCCCGACAGCCCGCTCGTGAGCTTCCAGGCAAAGGATTTGATCAGAGGGCTTCTGGTCAAGGAACCAGAGAACCGGCTCGGGTCTGAAAAAGGATCTGCAGAGATCAAAAGACATCCTTTCTTTGAAGGGTTGAATTGGGCTCTAATCCGGTGCGCAATCCCGCCTGAGCTGCCGGATTTCTATGAGTTTGGCGGTGCTCAGGAGGCGGCGGGTTCACCTGGTGGCAATGATGATAGGTATCTTGATTGCAAAGCCATAGGCGATCATCTTGAGTTCGAGTTGTTTTAAGTCAAGGGTCTTTAATCAAAGAAAAGATTAAATTTTTCTGGTATAAGCATTCAGAGTAAAATGTTGTTGTAATTTATGTTGTCTAAGTTCTTAAGTCTTATATGTAAATTTTAGCCTCTTCTGAGACATAATCTCATATATTCACCCCAAAAAAGTTCATTAGCATCTCAATATTATTATCTTTTTAAGTTATTTTCCTTCTCAACAAGGTTGCAACTTTGAAACATCAAAAGAAGAAAAGCCCAAAAAAAACATATATCATCAGATTGGCTCCACTTAAATTACAAAAATTTCTGCTTTTCCACTTTTCCTTTTGGCGGGATTGCTTGCTTTGATTTTGGAATGATGTAAAAGCAAAGCAATTTCGTTACAGAAGATTGATTTGAAGCAAAAGCAAAAGACACTCATAAGTACATAAATAGATAATGGGAGAGACATAAGAGACCTGTGGTATGTATGTAATAACAAGAAGAAACAATAAAAAAATGAGTAGCAAGAACTCAGGAGCAGCTCCTGCTACAGCTTCTGCAGTCAACGCAAACGGTAAGCTTCCAATGGAGGAGAACGAAGAAGAAGAGATATGGAAAGTGGCGGTGTCGAGATTTCAAGCCCGAGAAGAAGAGATCGAGAGAAAGAAGATGACTGTTAAGGAAAAAGTTCAACAACGGCTCGGTTTTGCAGAGGAAGCTACAAGATGCTTGACTCAAACATTGGAAGTAAGTGTAAAACCCTTTTTTTTGTTTAACATTATTGTGATTGGATTTCAAATAGGCAAAAAAAGTTGATAATTGTTCTTATTAAAACAGGAGCTAGAGATTATGGGAGATCCAATGAGAAAAGAAGTTGGAATTGTGAGGAAGAAAATCGACATGGCGAATCGAGATATCAAATCTTTGGCTCAAAGCTGTCAGAAGAAGGTAGGTTTTCACATTTTCATTCTTCAAAGTCTTTATTTTTTAAACTTTGCATCTCTGTTTAACAGAAGAGAATAATCTGGACAGGAGAAGGAATACAAAGAGACATTGGAGGCTTTCAACGAAAAGAACAAAGAGAAAACTCACCTTGTTTCCATGTTAATGGAGGTATTTGGTCAAAACCATATTCAAAGATTTGAGCTTTTTCGTAGATTCCTACAGCAGATCTGATGTGTTGTTGATGACTTTTCTTTGGCAGCTACTGGCTGAAAGCGAAAGACTAAGGTTGAAGAAGCTGGAGGAAATCAACAAGACTGTTGGAACCTTGCAATGAGAAGATTTTACCTTAAAAAGACTTCTAAAATTTGTTTGAGGTTTTTAATATTCGATTCTATTCAAGTCCTGTCTATTAAAAAGTGAGCTACCATGTAACACGATGCACGATAAACAACGAATGAATTGCCTAAAAAGATACGATCACGGCTAAAAACAAAGTTTCGTAAGAGATACAAGTATGCTTGTTACAACAACTTCATAACAAATCAATTATTATCGAAAACTAGCTCTTTTAGCTAAATAGAGGAGGAGCTTGTTAATATCGAATCAAACTTGTCATTACCCGCTTTTCTTTTACTCTGCTGGCTCAGTGTTTACATACCTATTTGCGTAATCTAAGTACTCCTGCAAGTAACAATCAAACATAAAAAAAGAGGTTTTCCAAGTAAGAAATGAGGAAACAGAAGAAAGATTTCATTGGTCTCTAACAAATGCAGAAATTAGTAACCGTACCTGAAGTATAACCACCGCGGCAAACTTGTCCGACATTGTCTTCTCTTGAACTGGATGCAGTTTCAAGGGCTTCAACATCAGTTCAACGGTCTGTGAACAGTATTACATGAGATCCAATGGCTTTAAACTTCTACTTACTATGACTTGCAAGATTTTTTTAAATCTGAATATAAAGTATACCTTTGATGATAACCGCTCATCCCAGTATGTGTACTTCACATCCTTGAGTTTTTCGGTTTTACGAAGTTCCTCAATGAAGAGATTCACAGTGACAACCTGTTCCAAGTTGAAAATAAATCCTTCTTGTGGTTATAAGTAGTGCTATGAAAAGGAAGAGTCCTTCACAATTCAGTGGAAGAAAAACTTACGTCCTCTACATTATTCAGTTTGCCAAATGGATAACCAACGACTAAGCCCGACACAGAAAATGCTTTGACCTGCATGAGTATAGGCAAAATGATTGGTGTATTAGAACAGAGTCTACTTGTTGATAGATTATCTACAATGTCAAGTAAATAGTACGGTTTACTGAGATACTAAAAGACTAAAAGGTTATATCTTGATCCTTTAACCGCCAGAGATCACCAAAAACCATACGAAGAAAGTATTGATCAACCATTACATACCTACCTCTCTTCATAAAAGATGACACATGACTAAATCTTAGTAGACACTGATCAAGCTTTCTTCGTCATTGCCCAAAACAACAAAAAAATAATAGTTTCTCTACTTCTTAACATCAAAAAGCAAGAAAAAAAATGTAGCACCTACCAGGTTCTGGAAATCTGTAGCCATCAAGTCAATGTTTGTTTTCTTCCTAAGCAAAACACTGCAAGAGAAGTAAGATATTTGCAATAGCTATGATGACTTGAATCAATTTTGACTAATATAACTAGATAGGAACTGCATTTCAATTGAAAACAACATTTAAACTAATGTTGTAGTATGTGACTGAGCAATTTGAATCTAAAAGATAGAGAGAATGATATTGAATCATGTGTACCTCAATGGAGTTGCAATCATATTTGAAGGATCTGAAATAGCTAATCCAACATACTTATCACCAACATCTAACCCAAGAAACCTCCCAGGTACTGACACTTTTGTCTTCAACGCATCGCCCAATAATCTCAATGGCTTCACATACTTCATTTCCTGGACAAATATAAGTGGAATCAAACTTCCAAACCACTTGCACAAATTGAGACTAAAGAAAATCAAATACATGTTAATAAAGTGCAGGAATTTGAGAATTGTTTGTACCAAAAACCTTCAATTCGACAATGAAACAAGTATTTGAAAAAGGTTGTAGAGAATAATGAAGAATAGGTTGAATTTTTAATTTCTGCTGATTGAAAGCAACTTCTGACGTACTCAAAAAGGCGAAAACTTTCAGGCGCCGGAGCACGAAATCTGGCGAAAGGAAGCGACGAAATGGCCACTAGAAGGTCGAGCAAGATGATGGAAGGGTTTAGAGGATGAACCGGAAACGGTTTATTCCAGTTCGTTTCGGTATAATTCGAAAACGTGAAAGCAGCAATTTTGTGTCTCACAGTTGTTCAAGGAAATGGGCGTGTGATTTAGTGAAGATGAAAAGGGAGAAGAGCCAGGAAAAGAAAATATTTTAAGGTCTGTTTTTTTTTTTCTTAAATTCTGGAACCGGCTGGTACGGGTGGTTAAGTGAGTTTCCGAATTGATTCGGTTCAACTTTAACCGGATTTCCGGCCATTTTCCTTCCCTCCAGAGAAAAGCCTCTGTTTTTGTTGTTTCTTTGCATCTCATTGGAGTCTTCTCTCCTCAAAATCACAATTTTCCAAATTTTTAAATTTTCACTTTACATATGATAGTCTGATAGAGTCAACGTAGTGCTTTCGTACTAAATAATAGGGTTCAATAGGTCCAATGATTCCCAAATGCTACATCATTAACATTGTAACTTCAATCTTGTCTATGAAGCAGCTTTGAATGCATAAAATGACTCATTAAGCTTAATGGAAAGAGGATCATATTACTTTGCATTGCAAAACAAAGTCACATTGCTTATACAAAGTCTCAAACTTTAGACATAAATATTTCTTCAGAGGGAAGAACGGAAACAATTCCAAAAGCAGGCATTTTGGCCTAACAACATCACCACAACAAAACAAAACACAAAAACAATTCAGAGAAGAATATCTGAAGAAATTGCAGATTCAAAGGAAGCTAAAAAGAGGACTTGATTTGGTTTTCTTAACACTTCCTTCAATGAAAGACTTGAGTTGAGATTCCCATCTGATGAAGAACACTAGAGGTAGACGAGGCTGACCTCAAGGCTTCAGCTAATGGTCCACCCATATTGTGGTTATTGCTTCCACTGCTCCACCAATTCATGTTCTGTTGTTGCTCCCTCTCATTGTTGTTTCTCATGTTTTCTTCTTCTTCTTCACTGCCTGTGGAAAGTTTTAGAGAAACATCCGAGGAAGTGTTACCAGGCATGGAGATCGAAAGATGACAAGTCGATGAGCTCATTGGACTTGAGGTAGAGTCGGATGTTCGTGGCCAATCGTCAAAGAAATGCCTCAAGATGTGACCATCGTCTGATCTTCCATTGTTGAATCCACTTTGAGCCTCATATGGCCTCTTGTTGGTGTTGCCTTCTTGTTTCATCTCTGAGGAACAACTGTGAGACACAAAATTCACATCTTTTATGATTAGAACAAAACATGAACATTTTCAGAAAAGCATATCTAAACAGGAAAGTTTCAAACTTTTTTCCATTTTAAGTAGAGATTAAAGACTGATAAACTCAATAAACCAAGTCCTGCTAATTGTACATAATGTTCCACTACGAAATATACTTGATTAGAGAAATAAATAAATCAATGGGTTAAGCTGTTTTTTGCAATAAGGGGAAGTGGTTGCAGAATCTGAGAGATTTTATTTTTTCTTCTATGCAGGTTTGGTCAGCTTTCACTGAGGTCCTACCATCTCATTATTTCAAATACAGCTCTCTTTTTCTCTCTCTCTCTCTTTTTCTCTGATTGAAAAGTCTCACTCAACTAGTAAAAAAATTAGATTCTATCAAATCCAACTGTTATCATTATCTCTCAACAAAAGAAAGGAAAATAACAATATGTTTTTTTCACAAAATGATGATAAGTCTCTCTGTCACCCAATTGCCAACATTACCCCTTTCCTCACAGCATCAATTGACAGTGGAATAACTATTCCCAAATCCCAAACAACAAGATTTTATATTTTCAACACATGTATCAAAAGCTATGTATAATCATCCATTGTAATTAGGCTTCTGTTATTTTTCAAAACACTTGTCTCAAGTGTCAAGACTCTTAACCAAGGCTAATTAATAATGATGTCAATTAAACAGAGTGTTTTTTTTTCTGTACCTTTGATGACTATTAAGGTGGAGATGTTGAGATGAAGAATGTGAAGAACCAGAGGAGAAGAGTAAATTGTTTGGTCCACGACCATTCTCCTCGCCTAAGACAAAAGAAGATGCGGTGGTTGTGGCAGCGTTTGTAGCGGCGGTTGTGGCGGTTTCCACAGGCTTTCTTGAACGGTTTCGACCACGGTGGATGTGACGGTCGCAATACTTGTGACCACCTACAACATCCCTCGAACATCTCCATTTCTTCCCGTCTGTTCTCTTGCACCTCCCTGGCTCAGGATCCATTGCTCCTCTTCCCCAATACCCTGTTTTTTTTTCATCGTTGTTATGTTCATTAGTAACAATAAACAAAGATCTCACTCAAGACATTGATTAAGAATGTTTCTAAACCCAACTTGTCATTGTTATCTCTGTTGGTTAAAGATCTTCTAGAAAGAGGTTTAAAGTCTTTACAAGATTGCAAAGTAGCCTTGTATAGATTAATGTATTTACTTTATTGTTTGGTGAGTCTATGAATTAGAGTTTCTAGATCTTGGCAATATAACTCTAACATCAAATACAAAAAAGCATATGCATTCATGATGAGAAAGATTCTTTCAAAGAAATTAGAAGTTTAAACAAGAGAGAGAGAGAGAGAGAGAGAGAGAGAGAGAGAGAGAGAGAGAGACTGACAAGAAGGTTGGTGATGAGGGAAGTTATGTTGAAGAGGATGGTGAAGGAAGTGCAAAGGGGATTGGTGGAAGAGACTTTTCTTGATGGGTAAGAGGAGCTCTTGAGGAACTGAAGCACCAGCCAACATGTATCTGTAGATCAGTGCTTGAAGCTCAAGTTCTTGCCACTGTGTCCAGCTAAAGAAGTTTCCCATCTCTACAAATTTTCACATACAAAAGACAGACAAAATCCACATTAAAAAAAAACCAGCAATAACTTCAACATTTGAGTGAAAAAGTGTTGTCCATTTCAAAAGAAAGGAAACACTTACTGAGAAACCTGGAAGAGGAAGAGGAAGAGTCAGGAGAGAAGCATGAGAACGAGGAAGAAGTGGTGGGTTCAGGGACAAAGAGAGGAAGAGCAGCAGCCGAAGTTGCAGTTTGGGATTGAATCTGATCAAAGAAAAAGTTTGATATCTTACTTGCAGAACCTTGTTCTTCTGACTCATTCTGCTGCTGACTTCTCCATTGTTTCAGTTGCAAGTCCATGGAACAAAGAGAGAGAAAGAAATAGAAAAATAAAAGAGAGATAGAGAAATGTGTTGGTTGCTTTTGGGATAGTTTTTTCCCCACTTCTTTTGTTATCAGAGAGTCTGGCTTAATAAACAAAGACAACCACAACAAAAGTCTTATTTGTTTGGCTTACTCCCCAAAAAAAAAAGAAAAAAGAGTTATTTTCTTTGCATCAGTTGCCGGAGAAAGCTAGAGAGAGCTAAACAGAGAGAGAAAAGTGTTTATTTATAAGACAAGACACTCTTGAGGGGAACTCAAAACAAAATTAGAGGAAAGAGAGTGAATTTAATATAATATCTGAAAGGTTAAAAAATGCTTTCTTTATCTATAAAAAATTAAGTCAGTCAGAAAACCCAGAAAGAAAGCACTGCAAGATGCAGATGGAGAGATAGTAACCTGCAGTGTTTATGTCTCACTGCCTTGGAAATATCACTTCCTTTTATATCTCATTTTAATATTCCATAAGTAGCTTAAAGAAAAAAGCGCAAGCCTATTAAGATTTTTGTAATTAAGGATTCATTCAATGTGATTTAAAGTAACCTTCAGTTTCTGTGATACAGATGTCATCAAGTTTCAGAGATTGTGTTACAAATGTATTAAATTCTGAGCTTAATCACTTTGGATTTGACTAACTCCACTGTCAACTGATGTATATGATGTTGTAGATTGCATTTGGAGAGAGCTGCAGTGTTGTCTTTTTACAAGAAACTACTTAAGTTACAATTTCTACCGGTTTAACTTATTTGATCTTTTCTTTTTTTTATTAAGTGCGACTTTAAATCCGTAAGGTAAAATAAATCATTAGACTTAATATTTTGTCTTAACTACTTTTGTTTTTGGCTAATAATTTTTTTAGTTTATACAGTTATTTATAATTTTTGTAACCGTCAATGTTTTTACTATATCTATTACATTATTTTATTAAAATATAATTTGTAACGTCTGTACTTTTTGAAGTTGTGATTTCTCTTATTTAAATAATTTGGTTAGCACCAAATCTGTGGTGGGATGTTGATGGTTTGGCCATGGTATTTTCAATCCAAGTTCGAATTCCTGACTAGAAAAACAGATTTCTGTTTCAAAAAAGTATATCAAACAGTTACTTCTGAGTTTAGAGAGTTCATGAATTTCGATCTAATTTTTCTTGGTTATTAAGAAAAAAGAAAGGAAAAAAATGGCAAGTACAATAAAAAACCTCTATAAATTAATACTCGATAAATTAATAATCACTATAAATTAATAAATTTTACTGGTCCGAAGTCGGACCAGTATAAAAAATCCATCAAATTCGATAAGATAATAAGATAATATTTTTTTGAAATCCCTATGTAAATATATGGTCCCAACAAAAATATAAATTAATAATTATATACATTTATACAAATATATGTAAATATAGTATTCTAAAATATGACTAATGTGTTTGCTTTTACTTAAGGTTGAAATCTCATTGGATCTTATTTTTTTAATTATTATATAAGTAGTTTTTATTGATGTTTTACGATATACATTCAAAATTTATGATAATTTTTAATGTGATAATTGATTTTTTTATCTGTAAATGTTTTTAAATGTATTGTAGTGTTATCTTCAATTTTATCATCAATAATATGGATAGTAATCATATTCTTTTTATAAATTTTAAACTTATGAACATGTATATTTTTACATGTATAATCCAATATAGTATTAAAAACTATTTTATTGCGATAGTTATGATTGTTAACATAATTTACATTACGAAATTTGTTAAAATTTTAAAATATAACATTATTCTAAAGAAATTTTTAGAAAATTATAAGCTGAAAGCAAATTTTCTCTATAAATTAATAATTATTAATATATAGATAAATTAATATCACGATAAATTAATAAAATATCATGGTCTCGATATTATTAATTTATAGAGGTTTTACTGTATACCTAAATATCGATACCAGGGAATAAAACATTACCAGAAAACACCAAGTAAACTTGGAAACATTTATTAAAATGAAGTTAAATAGCATTCATGTATATCTTCACTTGGCTGAAGAATAGAAAAGACATTTATTGTTTTCAAAGTATCTTTTTATGGTGGTGCCACGGTAGTATTAATTTGTAGTTTTTAGGAAATAAAGTAATAAATATGAGCAAAAGGACGATAACGATGTTACATGTAGGAGTGAGCCAGCCAACTAGCCAAGGCTCTGAGATGAGAGAGCTTCCTAAGTTTCTTTCTACTCAATTCATTCCCACCAATTTCGACGGCATGCATTTATATGCACTACATGCCGAATCAACCTAACCTTTTTGCGTTTTTGCTCCTCCACAAGAAAAATATCACAAAAATCAATTAACTATAGAGGGACCGGCTAAAAAAAAATAGTCAATTACATTATGGATCACTTCATTTATAAACTGTATTTGTGTATCAAAAATATATTTTGCAACATAAAAATATGGATCTTAGAATCTAAATAAGTTTTGTTTAATTATATTATTAGCCATGTGCACTAACATTTCCTGGCACTTCCCCTCCTATACAATATTCATTAGGTAAGTTGTTTACAAACTCTCATTGAGAAGATAAAAGTTAGAGTTTTCGATTTTTGAACATGAACTATTCTTGTCTCACATTATTTATTGTTTCCTTATAAGCGAGCCCATATTTTTTTTTGCTCTTGGAGCCCAAAATTCCCACGTTCGGCTCTTCTCAATTTATATTAATACGTAAGAGATACGTTCTTTTACTCCCAATCCAGTCAATTTTTCACCAATGTCCATCATAGTTATTCATTGTTGGTTGTATACTAATCAGGTTAACAATCACTTTTAACAGAACTCAAACCGACCACTCTATATATCGGCATTGCATTAGATTTGATTATTTATGTTCATTGCGTGTTTTACTTTTTAATCCACACAAAGATTTTAAGTTTGATTCCATAAATGTAGATCATATTGCTTATCTATGTATAAACTTATATCATAATAAGAGTTACGAATGGATGAAAATTTGAGATTCAGAAGAAGAAGAAAGGTGAGGAAATAGGAGCTAGGAACTTGTAAGAGAGTTTTGAGGTCACATGTCCCATGAGAAGACAAATACGTTTTAGGGACATTGTGCCAAAAAAGAAATAATTTAATATACTTGTTGTCAGAAATAAAACGTATGTATATTTACAGAAGAAGGGTCAAGTTGAGTCAACGTAGGGCCTATTTTGGTTGTATTTTGTGAAGTAAAAGGCAAGCCACGCCAGCACGCGAGGCCTCACGTGATACCACATGCCTCAATCTTGATTTGGCTCACGAGTCACGGCCATGGTTTGCAAATATGTATTACGTAATTTTAATCATCTAGTATACGTTTAATAAAGGTTGCAGTTATAGTTATAATTAAATATACCATAACCAGATGATTATGATACAATCGATATGTTCTAAAATATATATACACCCACCTGAATTATTTTGTTAGCATTGGTAACTTATACATTGTATGTGGTTAGCAACTTAGCATCATACACCAATTTTATGCTTCAGGTTTGGAAGGATAATTGATTGGTTAGTAAATATAATTAAAAGTGTCAAACAATGGGGAAAATAGAAGGCCCACTATAAAATTCTGTGCTACTTAAAAGGGAGACCTCTAATTTCTTAATGGGCTTACTATTCAATATATCATATGGTTTAAAATGATTTTCATGGGCCTTTTAAACCTGTTTTGATTCCAAAAACAGATGTTCGTATGATTTGCTATAATTGAAACATTAATTTTTTAGATTTCAGGTATTCTATTAGTTCTCAAGTTAGCAGATACTAAAAGCCTTCATTTGATCGAGTATTAGTTTTTTGTGAATAATTAACACGGGGCAAAATATTTGATCGTGGATCTGCTTAAAAGCCCACTTTTAGATGGACCCTACCACGTGATTTCTTAATCTGGGCCGTCCATTTGTTTGAATGTTGAGAAGAGTTCACGATTGGTCCCCTACCGCCACCGGTTTCTTCTCTGTTTGCACTTACGATCAATCATCATGCCTTTTGTTTTAGGAAATCATTTTTGCTTTATTTTGGAAATCATTTTTTCTTCTTCAAATTTTGTTAGTTAATATTGGGCTAGATTTTATTTCACTACACTGAATATGAAAATTCCAATCTGTAAAGTGTTTCGATAAACCAGTACTCACAAGTCACAATAAATCCATTAAGAGATAATGATGTATCTTACAAAGTGAAACGTACTCATTGTCACATTTAATTTGCATTACGACGGATATGCATTTGAAGGTATAAACCTCTAGTGTGTAAAGACCAAAGATTTTCTCAACCCAAACTTGGGAACATACCACACAAGGAGGACAACTCACTGTTTACGATCTCATCAAAAAACATTTGGCGTGAATGATAGGGTACAGATCAAACTGCAAAACATATATAGAAAACAAAATAATTAAATAAGTTTGAGAAGGTAAGGTAAGAGTTGGAATGCAGTCGATACTATTTAATCGAATAGTTTGGTGAGCTGCCTCCTCTAATTCTCTTCCTGCCCTTTGTGTTAACTACTTTATTTTTTTTCCATTCTTTATATTTATCAATAGTTTTTATCTTCTATATTTTGGAGCTCCTCTCATCCAACAAATAATTAATTGGTATGACTCATGAGTTCCTAGTATGATGATGGTTGAAAATCCTGTCCAGCCTTCTTTGAGATTTCTTTTTTTTTTGTAACTCAAATGTATATATCGATTCCTTTAATTACAAAAAGGATGCAAGCTGAGTTATCACAATAATAAGTTGGTAGATCTTATTACTAAGGATAATCTTTCTACTAAGCCGTGCTTACCATGTAGTGAAAAAGGCTTTCGCCTCAAATACCCAAAATATGTTAATTTTTCAGGGCCTCCATTTTTTTAAGAGGTAGTTAAGTGGGTAATGGTTGACATGAGGTCTTTTTTACATAAAATGTTTTCTTATTTTTGTTTATAAGAGAGAAAAAAAGGAATAGATATAGGAAATTAATTAAAATTACCTTCTCCCAATAGTTGATTAAGATTTGTTTAGATTATCGGCTTTATGACATCCTAAAATAAGAGCAAAACCCTAAAGTCTAAGAGAACAAAAAAAAACTCATAGATTGCTTATCAGATATTGCTGACGATTCTAGTTTCAGTTGTTTTGGCTGAAAAAAGTTTTTTAAAGTTGAAGTTGATAAAATCTTAGTTGTGATCAACTATGTCACAAGAACGATTGAATGACCTAACTAACATATCTATAGAAAGAGAATTAGTTAAAGACCTCGATTATGAAAGTTTGGTGAAAGAGTTTATTGAAAAAGAAATAAAAAAGATTATGTCTTAATTAGTTTTTTAGATTAAAATTTTATTTTTTGAATATTTTATATGATTTTAAAATTATAATATATTTTTATTAGAAAATCTTTTTTTTAAATGAAAAAATGTCTCATTTTTTTAGTTTGTCTTAAGTCCCCATAAACTTTCGCACAGCACTGCTACCACCCATCAAATCATATATATGATTTTAGGTGAACTCTCTCCATCATGCTGCTACATCAGCATTTCAATGGAGGACACCTGTCCTTTCAACTAATTAATAAATCATAAATTTTAAAATTAAAAATTAAAAACTAATTAATACCACTATTTCTAACTTAACTATTCTATTTAATGTTTATTTCATATATATTTATGTTCATAACTATTAAGTTACATTAATATTAAGGTTTTTCACATTCCTAACAAAAATAAATAAACAACATTTTTAACTTTTTCGTATTTGTCTAAAACTTTTTAATAATTTTTTATACTAACTTGATACTTTTCTTCCGGTTTATCCTCTTCATAAACACTTTTTCGAAGCTTGTTGTATGAAAAAATGTAAAAATATAGCGTTATCTTCATTCAAAGATTTGGCGGTTTTTATGGGTCAAATATAATATTATTATAACTGCATTTTATTGTGAAATATAAAGTATGAGGTGGTTCTTGCAGAATCAAAGCAATTGTACATGTCATAAATTTGAGAACATTAAAAATTAGAGGTAATTATATGTTTTCAAGCAATTCAACCAAAAAAATATGACTTTTATCTACGTCTTTTTTACTTATAACATGTTTATGATTTCTAAAATAGTAGAATAATTTTCCTAATTACCATATTTCAAATCCTTAAAAAAGTTATTTGTTTTACTAAGAATTTATTTTTAAAAAACCTAATACTAAACAATCAAACAAATTATCATATTCTTATAATTAACTATATATATAAATATATATCAACACAAACAATATTTTTAAAAATATTATGTGAAACAAAATTTGCGCGTATGCGCGGATACAAATCTAGTTTGATGCAAAATACAGAGTTTGTTAAAAGAAAAGAGTTCTTAGTATCATATTATCCAATTTTCGAAATTCGGTAGATTTAAAAGAATAATTAACATTACTATGTGGTAAGGAAAGTGTAAAAAAAAGCTAAAAAACGGCCAATTGCATTATAATATCTTCATTCGGCTTTAGCTTTACAGCCGTCAACTTTTTTATTTTTGAAAGATGGTTTCATTTAAAATTCGAGAACGCCAAGTGGCAAACTTTTGCATTTACTAACAACAATAAATGATACACAACTGAAGGAAAACAATAAATGATTCCTGAAACTGACCGTCAACATATTAATGTCAAAAGACCACGACAAAATCAATAGTTAGAATCTTCATATGATAAAAAGAAATCGACGAGAAAGATATTAGAATATATTTTTTTTCATTTCCAATCATTTAGCTAAGAGAAATATAAAAACATTTTTTTGTGATTATCCCAGATCTTATAACGGTTTTGTTTAATCGTTGAACAAATTACATAATCACATATAGGAGTATATAAAAAGAAGTGTTTGGCATAACTGTTTTTTTTTTAATATAATTCTGGTTGTTTTTCGAAAATTCTTTTAACTAAATTTCAATAAACTTTTTAATACCCCAATTTTTTGTAATATTAAAACAATTTAATAATATACTATTGAAGTTCAATATATTCTGTATCCGTATAACTGCAAATATCTACAGTTATCGCCAAATCTCCGAATATATATAGGCTATAGATCAAAGCGATTAATCTACTATAGATGTACGGATAATTTTCCAGCATCTTTTAAAAAAATCAATTTAATTTGAAACAAAATAGATTTGAGAACGAGTAAGATAATCATCAGAACGCAATTAAAAGTATTGTTTGAGAACTACGAACTAAGCGGATACGTAAAACAATAATCATAAAATGTAAAATAAATTACATATGCAATACTATTACAATTTAATAATATTTTGAATAGTATAAATTTTTTTTTTAAAAAAAATCCGTATCAGTATCTGAAACTATAATCGGAATATTTGCAGCTATATCCAAACCTCCAAGTATTTAGGATTCGATCAAGGCGATTATCTAATCGAGTATTACGACTAAGTTCTCACCAGTCACCACATATTTTAAAAAAGGTCTAGTTTGAAACAGAACTATATATGTAAAAGGGAAAAATAATCATCAAAGGACACGTAATTAAAGTATTTGTTTGAGAGCTACGATCTTAACGGATACGTAAAACAGCGATTAAATAAAACAAAAGATATTAAGAGAAAGGAAACAAAATATAAAAGAGTGAGAAGAAGAGGACAGAGAAGAGCCAGTGAGAGAAGAGAGCTTTACCACACACAAACCCACTCAGAAAACTCAAAATCCACCACACCCCATCCGCCATTAAAAGACAAAAGCTTTTTGCTTAGATTCAATCCAAATCAGTAAAAATAGGGTTAATCGAAGAACCTCACCGGAATTCCACAGAGGAATTGCATCGATCGCGTTCCTGCTGCGGCTTGAGGAAGAAGAAGAACAGTGACAGTAATCAACAGAAGAAGAAGGAAGAGAAATCGAAGATGGAGACGAAGGAAGCGCAGCCTCAGAACCAGCCGATGGTGAGCTTGAGCTTCAGCAGTCAGATGTCTAGAGAAGACGAGGAGATGGCTCGCTCTGCTCTCTCTGCGTTTAGGGCTAAAGAGGATGAGATCGAGAAGAGGAAAATGGAGGTTCGTGAACGGGTCAAGGCTCAGCTGGGTCGAGTCGAGGAAGAAACCCGACGTCTCGCTCATATCCGCGAGGTTTGTTTTCATTTTGCTTTTAAAAAATTCAATAAAGTCCAAGATCTCAAACTATTTTCCGGGAAATTTGTTTGAGATTTTGAAGCTCAATTTCAATGGTTTGAAAATTAGACTCATGCACGTTTACCTTCGTGTTACTTTGTGTGTTGTGATTCAAAATTCGTTGTTGTTCTGTGATTTTAGAGGATTAGGGTTTTAAAGATGTGAACTTGTTGATTCTGATCTCAGGGGGTCGAATGGTAAAGTGGAACAATTTATGTTTTTTAAAACTTGAAAACTTCAAAGTATAATCTCTAACAGAAATGGTTAAGCTTGGAATCTAATTTGGGTCATGATCTCATCTTCTGATTATAATTTAAGCTAATGATTCTGCATGCACTCAATTTGTTGATTATTAAATGGGTTTTGAAAGTTTCTGGTGATTAGATTACACAATCAAGTGAAAGCTACGATTACACTTGAAACGCCGGAGATCTCTATGATTTGGACATGAACATTTGCTTCTTCTTGTTGAGTTCACAAGTTTTGTTCTCAGGAAAAGGTTTAACTTTGCGGAAATGATCATGCTTTTGTTTCAGGAGCTTGAAACTATGGCTGATCCCATGAGGAAGGAAGTTTCTTGGGTGCGTAAGAAGATTGATAGCGTCAACAAAGAACTCAAACCGCTAGGCGCTACAGTTCAAAAGAAGGTAAATATTTTTCGAGAGCAGTTGCTATTGATTACCGGTAATAAATATTTCTCATGACTGTTTGCTATAAAAAGTTTTTGACTTTACCAAACCCGAACTCAAACTCCAAATGCAACTCTCAGATGTCAACTAAAAAGGTTTTGGGTTGTTATGATGTTGACAAAAGGTTTGATTTTGCAAGATTTGGGTTAACGATAGTCAATATTTTAAGACTTGTTATGCCATTTGCTGAACAAAACCTGAAACTCATGTTTTTTGTTTGTGTGATGACATAAACAGGAAAGGGAATACAAAGAAGCACTGGATACATTCAACGAGAAGAACCGCGAGAAAGTTCAGCTGATCACCAAGCTAATGGAGGTTAGTTTCGAATTCTCGGTTCTAATTTTTACTGAATCAATAGAACAAAACCGAGTTTTTTTTGCGCTGAATATACATTGACCGTGTTGGTTTGTTTTCGTTTTCTAAAACTTCTCCCTGGGGAGATGGGACAGTTGGTTGGAGAAAGCGAGAAGCTGAGGTTGAAGAAGCTGGAGGAGCTTAGCAAGAGCATAGAAACTGAGTGATTCAATCTCAAAGTCAAAGAGACCAGCCAGTCAAGAACTAATTGGGCTTAGGGTTATGGTTCTATTTATTGTAATTTTTTAATTTATTTTTCACTTTGGAAGATGTGAAATTCGTGTGGTTTTTTTAGTTTATGGGTGTTTTAGTTTTTTTAAATGGATTGTGGGTTGATTTGTAAAATTATGATGGGTGTTTATGTTTTTGATTAACCAAATTAGGGAAGGGATATGGGATAATGCTTAGGCTACTGAATGCTAAAGGGTTTGTAAGTTTGAATTATCTTTCTTTTGTTCTAAAATATTGTTTTATTTATTTTAAAATTTTAGCTTTATTTTAATTTCTTTTCCCCCCAACTATTTTTAGCTTTTTCACTTTTTGGAAAACTACCCTCTCGCCGACGAGCTTGTGTTTTTGAAATTGAAAAGACTTCCTTCCAAAGTACATTATGATTTCTTTGCTTGACTCGCAATAGACGCAACAAAATTCGGATTTGAACATTTCCCAATTATTTGTTTTCAAACTCAAACGCTTAAGATACTCTGTGTTTAAAAGATCTATGTTTTGGATTTTTTACACATATTAATATACAATCATTACTTATTTTTACTAATTGTTTAGTTTTATTAGATTAATATCAATAATTGATCTAAAGTAGAACACATAGCTAATCTACACCAATTAGTCTATAGCTAACCAAATCGAACATGTAATCTTATCTACCAGTTCCCTTTTTCTTTTAATGAATAGTAAATTAGAACAGACAAAGCAATGTGCTAATCTATATATCACCAAACTATTTTGTCTAATATGATCTGGAAAGCAACTGCTTTAATGATATTTGGTGGATAACCACTTGAAAAACACCATTTAAAAAGTAGGCCCATTATGAGGCCCATCATATCATAAGAGTAATTAGCGAATCACATAATACTTTTAACGCCAAAATTGCATATAAACGATACCTATCTAATTCTACATTAGTCGTTGTTCATCTCATTACAGGCACTGGCATCTATACAGGTGGGCTTTTGACGCTTTCATCGGAGAATGCATTTGAGGACAGTGAACTACTGAACTTATATATGTTTAGAAAAAAAAAACACTCAACACGGTCTTACCAAAGACGTTGTTCGGTTATTGGAATATTGGTTCGGTTACATGATACATTTTTTTTAGACCATTTAAACCAATTATTAAATAAAATGACCTTCAAATTAATTTTAAATTTATGGCCCAATCAAATGGTTGATGGGCTGTCCCTAAGCATGAAAATTTATATAACAAGCAATATTAATTATATTTTTTTAAATATTTCATTTCCTTTTTAAGTGTGAGCTTCAAATCAAAATATAATCTATTTTGGAAAAAATAAACTTTCAAGAGTTTTATTAAAACTAGTTTCTCAATCCATAACATAGACTCGGCCCTGCCGAAATCAAAACACAAATCGAAAAGAAACTGAAAACAAACAAAAAAGCATTCGTTACTCCGATAATGTCAAAAGAAAAAAAAGAGAGAGTAAAAACCCTTAGAAATACATCGAGGGCGATGATGACGTCACAACAGAAACCATTGACGACGACGATTCTCTCAGTACTTGTAATCCTTCACGTGAAGGCTCTCAGCAGCTCCATCACCAAGCTTAGCATCACCTTTGTAAGTCCCAAGCGTGGCTTCAGAGTTAGCCTTGCACCTCACATACAAAGCCTCTTGAGCGGCCTTGACGTTCTCCTCTTTCCCTGCCCATGTCTTCAATGTGCTCTGTTGCAACGCACGCCCGAACGAGAAAGACAACGACCATGGCTTCTTCGTCTTCAACTGGTTCATCGCGTTCAAGTTCTTGGTTGCTTCCTCCTCACTCTGTCCACCGGACAAGAACACAATGGCTGGGACAGCTGCTGGGACGGTTCTCTGAAGGGCACGGACGGTGTGCTCAGCTATGACTTCTGGTGCAACCTTGGGACTGTCTGAACCAGGCGTGACCATGTTAGGCTTCAAGAGAGTTCCTTCAAGCAAGACGTGGTGGTCGCTAAGAGCCTTGTAGCAAGCTGCAAGGACACGCTCGGTCACAGCAGCACACTTGTGGATGTCATGGGATCCGTCAACGAGGATCTCTGGCTCAACGATGGGCACAAGACCGTTCTCTTGGCAGATAACAGCGTATCTGGCTAATCCGTAGGCGTTCTCGTGGATGGAAAGCTCTGATGGCTCGTTCTCGCCGATCTTGAGGACTGCACGCCACTTGGCGAAACGAGCACCAGCCTCGTAGTACTTCTTGCAACGGTCGCCGAGACCGTCAAGACCTTGAGTGGTGGTCTCACCGTTGGTTCCGGCTAGCTCGACGGTACCCTTGTCAACTTTGATACCTGGAAGAACTCCTCCTTCCTTCAAGATATCAACGAATAGCTTGCCTGCGTAAACACAATCAAATCAGAAATCTCGACATACACATACAGTGAATTACATGGACAAAAATAACGATTTGAATTCGTACCATCGGAACTCTTCTGGTAAAGAGTTTCCTCGAAGAGGATGACACCGCTAAGGCAAGGGAGAGCACCAGGAGCGGTGAAGAGAAGCTCACGGAGAGCACGTCTGTTGGTCTCAACGTTCTCGACGTTGATGCTCGCGAGACGCTTTCCGATTGTGCCGGTGGATTCATCGGCGGCGAGAATACCCTTTCCGGGTGTGCCGATGTAGGCAGCATTAGCGATCAGCTCATCTGCCAAGGTTTCAAACGTATAAATTATTACGAAATTACTGACAAAACCAATCGATCGTGAATACAATTGATTAGATCCGTTTACTTTACTATGACAGATTGATCAGAGAAAACACCATACGAGTCTAAAACTGATTTTGAACACTGAATCAGATCTACGATAGTTTTTAACCATAGAAATCGTCAACAGATCTAATTCAAATCCCAGAAGAAGCAAACTAGTCAGATCTAGACAGATAATTACGCGAACAAGAAGCAAAACAACAGATCTAACGATTTCAGGAGGAATACACACAATAAACGAATTGAATACATGTAAGCTGCGAACGATGAGATAAACGGATTCGAGGAAGAGATATAGGGAGAGATATTTTACCGGCGAATTTGCTGGTGAAGGCAGACATGGTTTTTGACGGAAAGATCGAGAAATTGAGAGAGAACGATGCGGAAGAAGGAAGACGAGAGACGAAGCAGGTGGACCAGTAGAGGAAAAGGCTTTGGTTTTTATAGCTGAGGCTGAGAGTTTATTGGTTGGTGAAAAAAGTAAATGAAGGGTTAGATCTGTGGCATGTTCTCCAAGAAACAGCTCTTCAGCCGTTGGATCTCACGTGGTTTTGTTGGCAGTTTTGGCTATTCTCGGTTCTACCCCTTCTAAAATGTAAATAAGAAACGGAGTTGGAGAAGGGTAACTTTGTCACTTTCGAACTAATTAAGGAAAAGCATGAATTCGGCCGCACCAGGGCTCAAACCTCCGCCGGCTCAAACCTCCAAGCAAATTATAATTTAGTTTGTCTAATATAAAATTTTCAATAATTATGATTATAGAATTTCTTTATTTCTCATAATGAACACTTTGACAGTTTGACTACGACATCAATAGAATATTCTTATTAAAAATGCTAGATTCACATAAAAATGTGACTTCGAGATCTCCAAACATAAATAATTAGATCTGAGATGTAGAGATATAGACACATAAACAAAAAGAAAAATGGAAAATAACTGCAACTCTTGAAAGCCATGAATCATCAACCCATCAAAGTCTTTTTGCTTGAATGCTTTCTACCGACACGACGTACACTATGGAAACTTTTCCATTTTTTTCTTGAGTAAATGTGTCCTTATGATTTTTTTATGGGATTTTTGTTTTTTTCTTTTGGGATTTTTACCTGCAAATATTCGTAAACCGATACATCTCTAATTATAATAATTTACTTGGTTTAGACATTTTTTGAACTACATGATTTTGACATGTAGTAGTTAGTATTCACCTTATTATTAGACCTTGATGTTTATACAATTGAAAACAAATTTATAGGATTTACTAAAAGTAAAATATGATCATAAATGGAAACAAATATTGTTATGGTATTTAAGAAAAGGATGGTTAAAATAGAAAATAGGAAAGCAAAGGAAATAAAAATCCACCAAAGAAATATAGAATTTAGAAATATTTACAGTATATAAAAAGATATGTAAAAATTGACAGATGTCTACGGTCTGTTTCCAAGTCGATTAGATGGTAAAATAAACTTTTTAGCCTTTTTGTCCATTTCTTAAATTCCGTTAATGTCTGACAAAACAAAAATGTTCTTGATGACCTTAAAAAGAATACTCCTCCATTCTTATTATTATTATTTTTTGCCTTTTGGTATGCAATATGCATCAATAATGTCCTTGGCTCCTTGCATGAACATACATACACATTTGTTCGTCTATTAGTAGTGTTCCATTTCCTTGAATATAATATTATATTGACATTTACATCATATCTGATGTAGTGGACAATGACATTTTTTAAAAAAAATATAAACGTGGACAATAACATTTAGTCCTTTACATTACTGTATGTGTATATATATACAGTATATTATGTCTTCGTATAGAAAAATTATTGAGTTGAATTTACATCTGTGTTTGAAGATAAGTTGTCCAAAACGTCTGATTGTGTCGTATTTGTCAAAGTGATATCTTGAAGTTGTCGCTTGGATAGTTGGATGGAATAATCTGTGGTACGCTCCGACATTGAAATAGACAAATGAAGTATGAAAAATAAGACATTTGATGATATAATTGTTTAAACATGTTCCATGCTAGTTACAACAAAATGAAGCTAGTTTTAAGGAGGTTCGGAACATTTTGATTTCCATGCCAGATAATAAAAGTGGAATTCTCAAACGTGTTCATCAAAGCATCAATCTAAACATTGCTAAAAGCCATAGTGAAACCTTTATAATTTCACATTGAAACAAGAATATGAAAGAAAGACACGAGAGAACGAATCTTAAAGACTTGGCAGAGTTAATAGACGTAAGGAAGGATTCTATAGGGGACAAGTCTAAGATACTCAGCCCAGATCTCCTTGTACTTCTCTGCACATCGAACCTCGTCTCTTCGTTCTCTCCATATTAACAGTATCAGGAGGTATATCGGGTAGAAATATGGAACTGGAGAACTGAGAGTACACAAGACAACATAATACAAAAAGCCCTGATTAGTATTGTCTAAGTGATCAGACAATGAACTTGAAAAGATATGTAATGTTCAAATGGTGGTCTTAAAGATAGAGAATCTCAGACACTACCAATCAAATTCTCAGTTTTCAGGTCAACATCTAAATCTTAGCCAAATCGGTATTTGGAACTCTTGACTTAGAAAAGTTTTGATATTGGTATTGATTTCTTCATGACTTTAGTAGTTGTAAGATGAACTCAAGCACAACAAGTTACCTTATTCCACAGGGCAAACTGAAGGACAGAGCAAGCATCAAGTCGCCAAGGTAATTACAGTGCCTTGCGATTCCCCTGTAATGTTTAAAAACAGCATCTAAGTAATCGAAATGTAGCATTGTTCACCACAATCAACAGATGTACAGTCAAAGATAGAGACGGCGAAACCAAGCAAAGAAACTACAGAAAAAAAATGGAAAAAAGATCGTACCAATAGCCTGAAGCCAGCAACTTTCCTCCAACGACCACTGGAGGCTTACCCCATATAGGGGTTTTAGGGTTCTTTTTAAAGATATGTTTTTGTTTGTTAGCCCCTCGAAAAACCATGTACCTGCCAAAAAAGAAAAACTTGTGGGTTTTTAAGTTTAGTTTCTTTAAAACTGTAAAATAACACAATGACTCAGAACTTACCCTATCAAGAACACAAAGCAATTGGCTACAATAGCAGGAACTGTTAGCTCTACTTTGTTGTTCAAAAGCCACCAGCCCTGTACCAAGAGCAGACAATCCAGTCACATAGTGATCAAGCATTCAAAAACAATATTTTTTTCCGATAACAACTGTTACATGCTAAGAAGATATTATCTATAAGATGAATTTAAGTAAGTCCTGATTGTGTTTAAGCTCATAGTTACATGCCTGAATGCTAAAAGTGAAAGGAATCCACAGGAGATCTCCAAACACCAGCATGAAGCCTAACCTCTCTGCAATTATGTCCCACCTGAAAAAATATAAAATCAAAATCGACAAACAGTACTTAGAAAGACCAAAATCGTTGAGACTGATGGACATGGTCATATTTTGGTAATAAACATATGTCTGCTCAAGATGCCATGAACTTACGTAGAGGTCATGTATTCTTCATGAACAAAGTAGTCCAATATATATAACTGCAATTACAAAGTTAATCAAAACTAACGAAAATGGGATGATCAGAGAACTTCAAGAAACAGGAGTTGTAAGTAAACCCAAATGTACCGCACAGAAGATCTGGTAAAGAATCATCGACTGACTCAAGGAACCATCCTGCGCACTTTTTGCCAGAATAGAGAGATTGATAAGCAGCCATCCCATCATCCCGGCTCTGACAAAGAAAAACCTACACAAGTAATAATTCCCATCATTATAAATATGCATAACTTCAAACTGTATTATAAAATTGCTACTCGATATGTTTACTAAGCAAACTGAAGCAGTGATGCTGCCCGAGCTTACAAATAGAAGAAAAATACGGAAAAACTGATTACTTAAGATCGATGCCCAAAAACTGAGGATTCAGCTGAATCCCAAACCACCTATCACATGAAACAAACAAGATGAGTAAGAAAATCAAAGCAGTTGTTTGAAAAAGCAAGTGAAAGACATAAACCAGAGCTAAAGCTAAAGTCACTGGCTCATTTCTGTTGATAAGATTATAAAGGAAGCTACAAGCCTACAACCATTCTGGAAGAATTACTCATGACTCTACAAGGTTCTTTAAAACCATATTGTCTACATCGTTGTTTCATATTCTATATTGTACCAGATTATGTGGATTATTTTCTGACTTTCGCTCTACCAGGAGTTATATATATAACTATAATACAGCGGTTTATGGGATAAGAAATGAGTAGATGTACACATGTATTATGCTAGTACCAGTCATGTACAAGATTTCCGGAGACATGAGGCTTAAGGGAAGAACTCTTATCCGAGGAACTGCGACCAGTAACATACAATGCTAATGTCACCTAAATATTAAGAGAAGTCATGGAGATTAAAAACTTCACCACAAAAGCAAAGTTCTAAGGCACTAATAAGACTAATTTCAAGACAATCTCAATCTTACCAAAACACAGAAGATAAAAGTAGCTGAGAGTAGCTCAAGCCCTCTATCAGCGACCACCTGCAAACATCACGAAGAGTATTTTAATGCAATAGCAACCTAAACTCTCGTTTTACCAAAAAGTATCCTAATACGGTTTCATATAAACACAGTTGCATATCTTAATATTGGTATTGATGATCACAAAATGGTACTACGCTTACAAGAGGTGATACAATGCCGAGTTTTGCACAGATTCCCAAAATAGCGACCAGTAATGTTAGTGCGAATAGACCTGAAAATTTAACAAAATTAATGGTAAATAAATTTTCGAGCTCACATAATTTATCATGAATTTAGATAGAGACTAAATCAGATCACCATTGCATCGGTAACGAAGCTGGGAGCCATCTGGTAAAAGTACGCCGCGAATAACTTTTCCGGGAAGAATTTCTCCAGCAACGGCCAAGTAAACGAAGTAAAACACCAGCACATAAACCTAAAATCTCGGAATTTAATTGAGAAACCCAGAAGACGAACTGATCAGAAGAAGACTAAAAATCGCAAGAACAAATTGCGACACTGGATCAAAGCTAGAGAGAGAGAGCTCACAGATTGCGATGAGGGAGTGAGAGACTGTAGAAGAAGACGGAGATCCATATCTAGCATTAGCACAGGGGATTCAAAGTAGACGATGAAGCATTCGAATCAACTGTATCGCCTCTCGCTTTGTTTAATTCAGATGCCAGACGAAACCATTTCAATTTTTTAGTGGGAAGCTCGTGGACTCTGATGAGTTCACTTGTTTTAGTTAGGGAACATTTGCAAAACAGCCCTTAAACTCTTAATTTCATACGAAAAAATCATAAACTAAACACTGTGTCGTACCAAAGCCTTGAATTGCTAAATGAAGTAATATAATTTTGTCAGTTGACCAGACGCAAAGCAACCTATGATTTTGTCAATATATTTTTGTCATTTGATGCTAAATTTGTATTTTTATAGCCATTAAGTCATTTAACCGTTTTAAATATTTTTTTCAATTTAAAAAAGGAAGGGAAGTTCATACATTTACAGCCAAAATTTGATTTTCTGCTTTGTTCTTTTCGTTGACCGGATTTGTTTTTTCGTTTCTTTTGTATGGAAATTTATTCAATTTTAGATTTTCTTATATAATTTATGTTTTCAACAAAATTAAAAAATCAAGTAGAAGAGGGTGGCGAACCACCACACATACGCGGAAGAAGAAAAATCCGATAAAATAGCTAAAGACAATTGTTCTTAGTGCTCGAGCAGGTGGAACTGGAACAAGGTAAAAAAACACTAATCCCTCTCTTCTTACTCAAATTCTAGGGTTTCAAGTTTTCTCCTTTCTTCTATTGCTCATCTTCATTTCCCATAAATCCCAATCCTTTTCTCCTCTCTGTGTTGATTCTCTGAGCAAATCGTCCTTAATGCATCGTGATATAAATTGGGCTTTATTCAGATGTGTTAGCATTTGAATTGATTGGTGAAATTTTGATTTCTGAACCTCTAAAGCTCTATCCTTTCTCAGATTCAGGATCTGAAAGAAACCCTTTTGATTGATCGAATCGATATGAGTACTCAGGCGACGGGGACTTCTTCGCGGAGGAGCACTTCTTCTGTACGGCGAGGACCACCGGCCTCCAAGAAAACTCTCCAATCAGAAAACGGAAGCATCGTCAATGGCAACACCTCCAAACCCAATTCACCTCCTTCTCAACCTCCTTCCAACGTTGAGAGAACAGTCAAGAAGCTTCGTTTATCGAAAGCTCTCACTATCCCTGAAGGAACCACTGTCTTTGACGCTTGTCGAAGAATGGCTGCTCGACGTGTCGATGCGGTTCTCTTGACTGATTCAAGCGCTCTTCTCTCCGGGATCTGCACCGACAAAGATGTAGCTACGAGAGTGATCGCAGAAGGGTTAAGACCTGATCAAACTCTTGTCTCCAAGGTCATGACAAGGAATCCTATCTTCGTCACGTCTGATTCGTTGGCGATAGAGGCTCTTCAGAAGATGGTTCAAGGGAAATTCAGACACTTGCCTGTTGTGGAGAACGGCGAAGTCATTGCTTTGTTGGATATCACAAAGTGTCTATACGACGCCATTTCTAGGATGGAGAAAGCTGCTGAGCAAGGCAGTGCTTTAGCAGCTGCAGTGGAAGGTGTGGAGAAGCAATGGGGAGCTGGATACTCTGCTCCGTATGCTTTCATCGAAACTTTAAGGGAGAGAATGTTTAAGCCAGCTTTGTCTACGATAATCACTGAGAATTCAAAAGTTGCGCTTGTATCACCATCAGATCCTGTCTATGTTGCTGCAAAAAAGATGCGAGATTTACGAGTTAACTCTGTGATTATCTCCATGGGGAGCAAAATCCAAGGGATCTTAACTTCAAAGGACATTCTGATGAGAGTGGTTGCGCAGAATCTATCTCCTGAAACGACTCTTGTGGAGAAGGTAATGACACCTAATCCAGAATGTGCTTCCCTCGAGACGACGATTCTTGACGCTTTGCATATAATGCATGACGGCAAGTTTCTACATCTTCCGATTCTAGACAAAGACGGATCAGCTGCAGCTTGTGTAGATGTTCTTCAGATAACTCACGCAGCTATCTCAATGGTCGAGAACAGCTCTGGAGCTGTGAACGACATGGCAAACACGATGATGCAGAAGTTCTGGGACTCAGCTCTTGCGTTAGAACCACCTGATGATTCCGACACTCAAAGCGAAATGTCGGCGATGATGCATCACTCTGATATTGGGAAGCTCGCTTCTTACCCATCTCTAGGACTAGGGAACTCGTTTTCTTTCAAGTTCGAAGATCTCAAGGGCCGTGTGCATCGTTTTACTTGCGCTGCTGAAAACCTCGACGAGCTGATGGGTATTGTGATGCAGAGAATTGGTGGTAGTGACAACAACGATAAGGAGCAACGGCCTCAGATTATATATGAAGATGATGAAGGCGATAAGGTGTTGATTACATCGGATAGCGATTTGGTTGGTGCTGTTACTCTTGCTAGGTCTACAGGACAAAAGGTGTTGAGGCTGCATCTGGACTTCACAGAGACAACAAGGAGCTTGAGCTCTGAAACGGGTCAACTCAAGAAAGCGGAAGGAGGCGGATGGGTATCATGGCGCGGTGGTGTTGTGGTTACAGGAGCTCTTGTTCTAACGAGCGTAGCCGTTGTTGTTTACTTGAAACGCTCAAAGATGTGATTTTTACTGATTGGGAGGGAAAAAAATTATATTTTTTTGGGTAAGTTTCAATACAATTTGTCTCTTTGGGTTTACATGTTTTGCGGATGCAAAAAAGAAAACTTTATTTCCTTATGAAATTTAATTAAAGGGGAAAATACCCTCTGTTCAGAAGAGAAGATTAGATTTGACAGAGTTTATGTAAAACCTCTGAAACCGAGAAAAATAAAACCAGGGAATGTTGTTGCACTGCAGTTTTTGATATTTGATCTATTATGGGATAGCTTGCTTCATTCTTGTAAATGTATTGTTGTTGACTGTGTCGAACTGTTGTTACCTTACCCAACGAGATTGTTGTGTGGATGTGAGTTAGAAAGAGGAACTTATTTAGAAAATGGAAATTTGTGGTTGTTTGTGTTATATATTTTGAGGCATGAGCTTTTCGATATTGAATAGGATTTGTGATGTGGTTTGATGTTGTCATCGCGAATGTCGAAATGAATTATGATAACTACATATTCTACAGATGAGCTAAGTTAACAGAAGCGCAGGTTTGCCCGAGAGGTTAAGGGGGAAGACTTAAGTTCTTCTGCACATAAGTGCGCGTGGGTTCGAACCCCACAGCCTGCATTCTTACATTTATTTATCTATTCTTTTAGGAAAGATCGAGATACGTTTTTTTTGTTCTTATTATTAGTTTGAAGATGTAGATTTCGAGTTATGTGGCTAAATTTTTGAAGGAGACAGCTTGGAGCAAATCGATATCCAAACGTTGTTTTCAACCTGACTGACACACTTTGTACGCCACTTGAATTTTACGATTGGTCCACGAAAAGTGGTAGGTGATTGATTAAGAAGATCCCCTCTTGGATATGGAATATCACGAGATAACAAAACAAGAAAAGGTAATATAATAATAAAAGTAGGGCTATTGTCCTTTGAAAAGGCATAGCTCGTCTCGTGCACCCACATGATATCCAAACACAATGTTCTCTACCAAAAACAAGAACCGACTCAGCTGAAAACAAATGAAAACAAAATCCCTTTATTTGACCTTCAAAGCCTCAAACATTAATCAAACTCAGCTCTGTGTTAGAGTCTCTCTAGTAAGGCTCGACTGGGGTGCGGAAGTTGGCTCCTGCATACACTGCCTCTGCTCCAAGCTCCTCCTCAATTCGCAATAGCTATTCATTATATCACCAACATTACGAGCATCAGTCTAACGGATATCTACTTTGAAATTCTATCAATCAAACACAAAACACATCTTGTTTCCGAACCTGGTTGTATTTGGCAAGACGCTCTGATCTGCAAGGAGCTCCGGTCTTGATTTGACCCTGTTAAGATATAAACAACAATTCCCAGAGACTCATCAATATCATGATTTAATTTGATTTGGACAAGACACGACAAGAAATTTCTTGCAGGGAAAGTTTGAACTGCTAAGGGGTTTTGACTTACGGTTGACAAACCGACAGATAAATCGGCAATGAAGGTGTCCTCGGTTTCTCCACTACGGTGGCTAGCCATCACTCCCCAACCAGCTCTCTTTGACATCTTAACCGCCTCAATACTCTCAGTTACAGATCCGATTTGGTTAACCTGTTCATACATTCACCAGGGATTTATATTTAACACTATTTCAAGGACTTCAAAATGACGCATAACCAGTAAAGATGTTTACCTTCAAAAGAAGAGCATTGCAAGACTTTTCACTGATCGCCTTGGCAACCCTCTGCATACAAAAGAGTGTTAGAGATATAACAGCTTTGAGAGAGAAAGAGAGAAAGTTGAAAGGCTAACACTTGTTTAACAATGGCAGACCTTGGGGTTGGTGACTAACAGATCATCACCGACAATCTGAACTTTCTCGCCACACTCGCCGGTCATTTTAGCATAGTGCTCCCAGTCGTCTTGGTCAAATGGGTCTTCAATGGATACAATTGGGTACTCAGCAACAAATGATTTGTAGAGGTCCTTGAGAGCTTCTCCAGAAATCTTCTCAGAACCATTGTTGTTCTGCAAATACCCAAATTCATTGTTATTGACTTCTTTCTCCAGCCGGTTTAGAATTTTTTTAAGCAAAAAGGCTAATTTACCTCTTCTTTGAAGTTCAAGTCGTAGGTCTTGTCTGACGAGTAGAACTCAGATGCAGCGACATCCATTCCAATGACAACCTACAAGATTATGACTGAAACCCGTTAGTTTCTCTGCCTATGGATAGATTACAACGACATGTACACTAGTCTAATTACGGGTAAGAGACAGACCTTGCCAGTGTATCCCGCCTTCTCGATGGCAGTCTTGAGCAATTCAAGACCTTCCTTGTTCTCCTGAATATTTGGTGCGAAGCCACCTTCATCACCAACGTTTGTTGCATCCTGACCGTACTTCTTCTTAATCACAGACTGAAATTCACATGAGAACAAGAAGGATGAATTTGTCAGATAAAGAAAATGCGTGAGCATAAATGTTAAACCGGAAGAATCAATCAATTTATTATCAGTAAGTTACAGGAGTAATGAGGAAATACACGTTATTATACATTTAATAGTTCTTTAATCATTATTAATCATAATATGAAGACCTCAAAGACCAAAATGAGTCGAGATTTACCTTCAAGTTGTGGTAAACTTCCACACCCATTTTCATGGCTTCCTTGAAAGATGAAGCTCCAACAGGGAGAATCATGAACTCCTGCAAACACCAGTTGCATGTCCGAAATTTTAAGAACTAGAGAGTCTTTTCGTTATATACGTAAAAGAAATAGAATCAAACTAGTTCATACCTGCATTGCAAGCTTGTTTCCTGCATGTGATCCACCGTTGATGACATTGAAGGCAGGAACTGGTAGCACCAACTTGGGGTTACCAGCAAGATTCGCAATGTGCTGCAACAAGATAAGTAGCAAAGCAAAGGAGTTAGATAAAGTGCTAAGAACTAGAAAAGACGAGTTATAACTTATAAGTACAAGATCATAAAACCTTGTAGAGAGGAATTCCACTGACAACAGCGCCAGCTTTGCAAACAGCAAGAGAGACAGCAAGAATAGCATTGGCTCCAAGCTGTAAACAAACACAGGAAGCAAGCTTATTAACATCATCGCCAGTCTCAAGAGAATGCACAAACAAGAAGTATTCTAAAGCACCTTTTGCTTGCACCAGCCCCACTCATTTTGGGTACCATCAAGTTCGTGAACCATGAAGTTGTCAATAGCAGTCTGCTGGGTAGGGTCCTGAAACAAGCAAAACAAAAAAAAAACAAAAATTTTAAGCAGGTGATCCAAAACATGTAGAAACGTTTGATGTAATGCAGAGAGGGTTTAACAAGTGCGTCACCTTGCCAATCAATGCTGGGCCAATGATTGAGTTAACATTTCCAACAGCCTATAAACATCAATAAGAAAACATTTGTTAAACGAGAAAAGTCTCATTCGGACAACATTTCATAACAAGAACCACAACACACAAACTCACCTTTGAGACACCTTTGCCAAGATAGTCAGATCCTCCATCCCTCAGCTCAAGGGCCTCATAGACTCCTATGGCAAGTTTACAACTAGTTAAGGTTTAATCTAACCACACATTCACATATCCATATAACCCAAAAAAACGAATAACATAAGCTACAGAGAAATTATCTGGTGGGAAAAACAAAACTATCTAGAAAGAATAAAACACAAACACGACGAGTTTCTCAAAAGTGGCATACCAGTGGAAGCTCCACTTGGAACGGCAGCTGTGACCTTCACGCCGGTGGATGTGTGGATATCGACCTAAAACCCGATGATAAAATCAGAAAAATCATTTAGTCCTCGTTCTGCTCTCAAATCGATCAGTGAAAAGACGATCGGACAGTGATTCGAGCAACCAAGTAGGGAGATTCTAATTTAAAAGATCGGGCTAATTCCGATCCGTCGTACAGATCATCGGAGATAGAACAGAACCCAATCAGCGAGAAAATCGATTACAATAAAAATTCGACCTCAAACAGTGAAACTCATCGGAAGCGAAGAAGAAGAAAACAAACCTCGACGGTGGGGTTTCCACGGCTGTCGAAGATCTGTCTAGCTTTCACAAGTGTGATAGTGGCCATAGTCGATTAGATCTTGGAGAAAGAGAGACGAAGATGTTGCTGAAGAACGCTCGTCGTAGCTTTGATTCACACTGAAATTTCCCGGATTAGAACGATGTTTCCTATGCTCTTTAGCTTGATATATATATAACGGGAAAGGAAAAAAAAAAAATGTTCATGTTAGATTACAGCCGTCGGATCAGAAGTATTGGGATCTGGTTATAGCCGTCCGATCTAAACAAATCAGAAACCGTTAAAACGTCGCGTTGCACGCCTTTTGCAGACGACCAAAAGGTTTATTTTTTCGCTTTGCCCCTTGTCCAAGTAAAAATACGACCTTGGGGAATCAGCTAGACACTATAACAAGTAATAAACTAACAAGGAAACTGAATATTTATTCGAACAGACGAATGTGGAAACTTTATAAATTTAAGCTTATGATGTAGCATCTTCTCTCCGTAACCCCAAAGTGTGTGTTAATTAGTAACAATTACCATATACCAGAACGTTCCAAAAAAAAGAAGACAATTTGTATATATGTTTACAATTGAATGTAAAGGAAAAGTTGAATGTTGTAGAAAAGAAAATTGTGAAAGGTAAGAGCAACCTCAATGGGAGAGATTTACGAGGGTCTTCAGACCATTATTTAATTAGTTTTTGAGTAAAAAGTGTGAATAGAAACTGATTCTAGAGACTGGTGTTTTAAGCTGTGCGATGGAGAGATTGATATGAGTTTATTTTTTAAAAAATATTTTTTACAAGGAAGATTTGATACAAGGAAGATGAAACGCGTGATTGCATTTGGGCAACAATCGTAAGCTCTCGTTCTCTTCGAATTCACTCAAACAAACAGAGCAATCAGAACCATCGACGAATCCTTCACCCTTTCTGTACTTGTAAACCGTGATCGATTTGATCAGTGTGTCGTTAAGGCCGTCGCCGCTAGCCGCCGCATTCCAATTTCCTTGCCGGGATTCGACGGCGGAGGAGGAGAACGCACCGCCGCGATCACGGGTTTAGCGGCGATAGCAGTATTTTGAGATGAGAGTGTAGTAGCTGACGAGGATGAAAGCGCTGGCGAGGAGTCCGATTAGGGCGATGAGGAGAGGGGAGAAGTTGGAGGAGGAAGAAAAGTCGTCGTCTTCGTCGAGGAAGAAAGAAAGGAGGAGGAGGGAAGATGGTGGTGTTGCTGTTCGAGAAGAGAGAGAGAGCAAGAAAAAGAAGAAGGAGAGAGAGAGGAAGGAGATGGTGAAAAAAATCTTTCACACTTTTTAACTAATGTAAACAACCCACGTGTGGGAAGAAACGATACAAAACGTCCCCAAATAGAAGATGTTTCTGCCAAATAAGAAACGATGCTGCATTTTTTTATTAATAAGTTTCTGCTAAATACCCTGTAAATACCCCGTTAAAGATGCTCTAAGGGTCGAATGTTTAGGATTTGGGATTTGGACCCCAAGGCAAGAGTTTGTGTCTGTAATGTAATAAATCATAAACTCAAGGACAGGTGGGATAACAATTGCAGCTACCAACTCAGGTTGACGCATATTCCTTTCTCATCTTTAATTTTTTTCAACACCTTCTATTTTTATAACGCCTGTTTAATTAATTTTAATTTTTTAAACGGATCCTTCTGAGATCTGAATCTGACTGATTATTTACTTAATGCAGCTACTAAACAAAATTGAATAGAAATTATGGTTGAAATCATTACAAAATTAAAAGAATCTTCCTTTAATTTTCTTTTGCTGTGATTGAAAAAAAAAATTAGTAGTAAACTCAAATCTTGTCGATAGTTTCTCAAACCTAATTATTTTAACCATTGCAGCTAATAACCAGTTGGAAAGATACGATAAATAACAAAACTAAAATGTGATAACATAATATATATTCTTCTTATTTTGACAGACAAAAACAAAATAATATTCTATTGACAGATTTTGAACAAAAAAAAAAAAAAATTCTATTGACAGGTTTACCAAGTTGCTGAAAATCGACAAAGATATCGACTTTCTTTAGATTGTGGATCGGCTAATTTGGAAACATGTGAACTATTAGTGTCTTATGTGAATTCCGTAGAAGATAAAACTGGAGCACAAAGAAAGAGGGAGAAGAAGTAGTATAATAAAAGCAAGCAGCTCGCATCACATTAAAGGTTTAAAACCAAACACACTTTTCTCTACCAAAAACAAGAACCGACTCAGCTGAAAACAAATGAAAACAAAATCCCTTTATTTGACCTTCAAAGCCTCAAACATTAATCAAACTCAGCTCTGTGTTAGAGTCTCTCTAGTAAGGCTCGACTGGGGTGCGGAAGTTGGCTCCTGCATACACTGCCTCTGCTCCAAGCTCCTCCTCAATTCGCAATAGCTATTCATTATATCACCAACATTACGAGCATCAGTCTAACGGATATCTACTTTGAAATTCTATCAATCAAACACAAAACACATCTTGTTTCCGAACCTGGTTGTATTTGGCAAGACGCTCTGATCTGCAAGGAGCTCCGGTCTTGATTTGACCCTGTTAAGATATAAACAACAATTCCCAGAGACTCATCAATATCATGATTTAATTTGATTTGGACAAGACACGACAAGAAATTTCTTGCAGGGAAAGTTTGAACTGCTAAGGGGTTTTGACTTACGGTTGACAAACCGACAGATAAATCGGCAATGAAGGTGTCCTCGGTTTCTCCACTACGGTGGCTAGCCATCACTCCCCAACCAGCTCTCTTTGACATCTTAACCGCCTCAATACTCTCAGTTACAGATCCGATTTGGTTAACCTGTTCATACATTCACCAGGGATTTATATTTAACACTATTTCAAGGACTTCAAAATGACGCATAACCAGTAAAGATGTTTACCTTCAAAAGAAGAGCATTGCAAGACTTTTCACTGATCGCCTTGGCAACCCTCTGCATACAAAAGAGTGTTAGAGATATAACAGCTTTGAGAGAGAAAGAGAGAAAGTTGAAAGGCTAACACTTGTTTAACAATGGCAGACCTTGGGGTTGGTGACTAACAGATCATCACCGACAATCTGAACTTTCTCGCCACACTCGCCGGTCATTTTAGCATAGTGCTCCCAGTCGTCTTGGTCAAATGGGTCTTCAATGGATACAATTGGGTACTCAGCAACAAATGATTTGTAGAGGTCCTTGAGAGCTTCTCCAGAAATCTTCTCAGAACCATTGTTGTTCTGCAAATACCCAAATTCATTGTTATTGACTTCTTTCTCCAGCCGGTTTAGAATTTTTTTAAGCAAAAAGGCTAATTTACCTCTTCTTTGAAGTTCAAGTCGTAGGTCTTGTCTGACGAGTAGAACTCAGATGCAGCGACATCCATTCCAATGACAACCTACAAGATTATGACTGAAACCCGTTAGTTTCTCTGCCTATGGATAGATTACAACGACATGTACACTAGTCTAATTACGGGTAAGAGACAGACCTTGCCAGTGTATCCCGCCTTCTCGATGGCAGTCTTGAGCAATTCAAGACCTTCCTTGTTCTCCTGAATATTTGGTGCGAAGCCACCTTCATCACCAACGTTTGTTGCATCCTGACCGTACTTCTTCTTAATCACAGACTGAAATTCACATGAGAACAAGAAGGATGAATTTGTCAGATAAAGAAAATGCGTGAGCATAAATGTTAAACCGGAAGAATCAATCAATTTATTATCAGTAAGTTACAGGAGTAATGAGGAAATACACGTTATTATACATTTAATAGTTCTTTAATCATTATTAATCATAATATGAAGACCTCAAAGACCAAAATGAGTCGAGATTTACCTTCAAGTTGTGGTAAACTTCCACACCCATTTTCATGGCTTCCTTGAAAGATGAAGCTCCAACAGGGAGAATCATGAACTCCTGCAAACACCAGTTGCATGTCCGAAATTTTAAGAACTAGAGAGTCTTTTCGTTATATACGTAAAAGAAATAGAATCAAACTAGTTCATACCTGCATTGCAAGCTTGTTTCCTGCATGTGATCCACCGTTGATGACATTGAAGGCAGGAACTGGTAGCACCAACTTGGGGTTACCAGCAAGATTCGCAATGTGCTGCAACAAGATAAGTAGCAAAGCAAAGGAGTTAGATAAAGTGCTAAGAACTAGAAAAGACGAGTTATAACTTATAAGTACAAGATCATAAAACCTTGTAGAGAGGAATTCCACTGACAACAGCGCCAGCTTTGCAAACAGCAAGAGAGACAGCAAGAATAGCATTGGCTCCAAGCTGTAAACAAACACAGGAAGCAAGCTTATTAACATCATCGCCAGTCTCAAGAGAATGCACAAACAAGAAGTATTCTAAAGCACCTTTTGCTTGCACCAGCCCCACTCATTTTGGGTACCATCAAGTTCGTGAACCATGAAGTTGTCAATAGCAGTCTGCTGGGTAGGGTCCTGAAACAAGCAAAACAAAAAAAAAACAAAAATTTTAAGCAGGTGATCCAAAACATGTAGAAACGTTTGATGTAATGCAGAGAGGGTTTAACAAGTGCGTCACCTTGCCAATCAATGCTGGGCCAATGATTGAGTTTACATTTCCAACAGCCTATAAACATCAATAAGAAAACATTAGTTAAACGAGAAAAGCTTCAATCGGATAACATTTGTTCATTTCATAACCAAAACCAAAACCACAACACACAAACTCACCTTTGAGACACCTTTTCCAAGGTAGTCAGATCCTCCATCCCTGAGCTCAAGGGCCTCATAGATTCCTAAGGCAAGTTTACAACTAGTTTAGAATTACTTTAACCAAACATTCATGTCCGTATAATCCTCAAACAAACGAATAACATAAGCTACAGAAAAATTATCTGATGGGCAAAACATAACTGTCTAGAAAGAATAAAACACAAAAACAATGAGAAATCAAAAGTGGCATACCAGTGGAGGCTCCACTAGGAACGGCAGCTCTGACCTGCACGCCGGTGGATGTGTGGACATCGACCTAAAACCGATGATGATAAATCAGAAAAATCATAAGTCCTCTTTCTGCTCTAAATTCGATCAGTGAAAAGACGATCGGACAGTGTTTCGGCCAATTTCAAAGATCGGACTAATTCCGATCCGTATTACAGATCATCGCAGATAAAACAGAACCGATTCAGCGAGAAAAATCAATTTCAATCAAAAGTAGACCTCAAACACTGATCAGCACTCACAAAGCCAAAAACGTGAAACTAATCGGAAGCGAAGAAGAAGAAAACAAACCTCGACGGTGGGGTTTCCACGGCTGTCGAAGATCTGTCTAGCTTTCACATGTGTGATAGTGGCCATAGTCGATTAGATCTTAGAGAGAGAGATAGAGAGAGATGAAGAGTTTTGCTGAAGAACGCTCGTCGAAGCTTTGATTCACACAGAAATTGAGATTAAGCTCTAGCTTCGTATATATAAAGGGTTAGATGTATTGAGATCTAGGTTTAGCCGTCCGATCTAAAATGGTAAGAAAACGTTAAAACGTTGCGTTGCACGCCTTTTGCAGACGATCAAGAGGTTTCTTTTTCCGCTTTTGCTCCTTGCCCAAGTAAACCATTACGACCTTGGGGAGTCAGCTAAACACTGGAACAAGTAATAAACTAGTAAGGAAAGTGATTCTTTATTCGAGCATACGAATGTGGAAACTTTATAAATTTAAGCTTACGATGTGGCACTAGCATCTTCACTCCTTCACCCCAAAGTGTGTGTTAATTATAGTAACAATTTGTATATATGTATATATGTCAATTTTATTATATAGGACAAGTTGAATGCTGTAAAAAATAAAAATTGTGAAAGGTAGGGGTCGAATGTTTACAATTGGGACTCCAAGCAAGAGTTTGTGAACCTAAACAAATTTGCACCTACCACAACTCAGGTTGACGCATATTCCTTTGGCATCTTTACTTTTTTTTTCAACATCCCTTTTTCTGAACGCCTGCTTACTTAGTTTTATGTTTTTAAAATGAAGGTTTGAATCTGACTGATTACTAACTTAATGCAGCTGCTGAACATTTAAAATTATTCCTTTTTGTTCCTCTTTTCTGATCATTTATATAAAATATATTAATTAAAAGTGCTGATTTTTTTTTCAGATTGAATACAACTTATGGTTGTAATCATTGACTAAATTCAAAGAATGATCTACCTCAATTTTTTTTTTTTTTTTAATTTGCGGAAATGAAAAAACAGTTAGTAAACCCAAAACTTGTCAATAGTTTCTCAAACCAAATTATCTTAAGTTAACCATTGCAACTTCTAACCAGTTAGAAACCAACGATAAGTAACATAACTAAGAGGTGATAACAAAATAATATTCTTATTTTTGGTCAAACAATAAACAAAATAATATTCAATTGACATGAATTTACACTTAAAATTTTGAAATTGCAGTATACAGTATACACTGTTCGCTTCTTCGCTTTTATACAGTATACACTGTTCGCTTCTTCGCTTAAATAACTAAATAATATTTCTAATAACAATGAACTAAATAGGCCCAGCGATATATACAACATAGGCCCATTAACGTGCATTAGGCCAGTAAAGATACAGCCTTTCACCACTCTACTCATCCGAAAAAATCACAAACCTGAGTCACAGGCCAAACAACAACATTTCATCTGAAACCTCTCTAAACAGCATCCATGGCGACTTCTCTCTCCGTCTCCAGACTCCTCTCCTCCTCCTCAGCCACGGCAATCTCCGTCGCCAAGCCATTCTTTTCCCCCACCTCCACCTTCACCGCACCGCTAACCTTCACACGCTCTCTCGCTCCTAACCTCTCCCTCAAATTCCGCAGCCGCCGATCCAATTCCGCCTCCGTCTCCACCGCCAGATCCTTCCCGACAACCGTCTCCGCCTCAATTTCCGTCGGAGACAAACTCCCCGACTCCACTCTCTCATACCTCGATCCCGCCACCGGCGATGTCAAAACAGTCACCGTCTCCTCCTTAACCGCCGGGAAGAAAGCCATCCTATTCGCCGTCCCCGGAGCTTTCACTCCGACGTGCTCGCAGAAACACGTCCCTGGATTCGTTTCCAAGGCAGGAGAGCTCAGATCCAAAGGCATCGATGTCATCGCCTGTGTCTCCGTGAACGACGCGTTCGTGATGGAGGCGTGGCGTAAGGACCTCGGAATCAACGACGAGGTTATGCTTCTCTCCGATGGAAACGGCGAGTTCACCGGGAAGCTCGGTGTCGAATTGGATTTGAGGGATAAGCCTGTGGGACTCGGAGTTAGGTCACGGAGGTACGCGATTCTGGCGGAGGATGGTGTTGTGAAGGTTCTAAATCTTGAAGAAGGAGGGGCTTTCACTAACAGTAGTGCTGAGGATATGCTTAAGGCTCTTTGATTCTCTGATTTTACTCTCTGTTTTTTGAAGTTTTCTCTGTGTTTTTGTTCTTCTTGTTGTTGCTAGTTTCTCATTTGTGGAGCTTTTAGATCCTGATTCCAAAGTATCATCGGACCCTGTAACGGAATAATAATTGGAATCGTTTTGTTTGTGAACAATTTGGAATCGTTTAGGTTTTGTTTTTGGTCTCGGAATTAATTGCTACTTTGGGTTAGTTTCTCTGTTCTTTTTTGTTGACTTTTTGAATTTGATTGTTAAGTAGCACCTAATAGCGTATTTGTTATAGTTGTTAGTGAAATTGACATTGACAACTTAGTAAAATATCATTTCAAGAAATGTTTAAGAAATTGAATGTGTTCTTGATCTGCAAATTACACACACACCAAAACTTTGAGCGCATTCTCTGAACATTAACAATGTAACTTGCTCTGGTATGTACACACGGAATGTGTACTTAAACAAACAGTTTTACTTGAATTTGTGTATTTACACCTAATTTCATATTTGGTATTTTTAATTGGTCTGTGGAGATTGGAAGAGACCCAACAAGTCATGGCTTTTGGAAAGGACGTTGGGTTGGTAGCTAATAGCAAGCCACGTTTGCATATGTGGCAATTGCTTGCTACGTATGCATTATAGAGATACACAAATATCTACAAAGATATTTACTTTCCAGCAAAAAAGAAAAATAACTTCACCACTTGTCACTGCATCAACCAAAGAGCTCCGACAATGACGCCAAACTGTTCGCATTTAGATATTTTTTTGGTATACACATATTGGATTGGTTGGATAATTGGATTTAAGTGTTTAAACTTTAAACTATACGTGCATGTAAAGAAAACAAATAATATCGAATCTAATGCTGTCGGTAAGGAATGGGAATCGCTTCCAAAGGAACAGCTTTTTTCAGTGTAATCCCAATTCTTTCTCCCATATCCATTTCCTCTGCATTAAGCCCATTAGCTAAGGCCCAATCAAACGACCTCACCATCGACCCAATGGCTAACGGCAAGACCCGTGACGCCAAAGGCAAAGCCGGACACATCCGTCTACCCGACCCGAACGGCAAGAACTCGAAATCCTGTCCCTTGAAGTCTCTAGGATTCGGGTCGGATATAAATCTCTCGGGTTTGAACAGAATCGGGTCGATCCATGTTTCAGGGTCACGGCCTATGGCCCAAACGTTGACCAAGACTTGTGTTTCTTTGGGGATAGTGTACTGGTTGAAAATGTGACACGTGGACATGGCCTTGTGTGGGACCAAGAAAGGAAGTGGTGGGTGAAGCCTCAAGGTTTCCATGATCACCGCTGAGAGATAGGGTAGGTTCGGGAGGTCTTCTTCTTGGAGCTTTTGGTTCGGGGATTTGAAGTAGGTTCGGAGTTCGGTTTGGAGTTTGGTTAGGGTTCTTGGGTTGTGTAGAAGCTCCGCTAGTGCCCACTCCAACGTGCTCGTTGTCGTGTCCGTTCCCGCCGTAAACATTTCCTATCAATGAGATATTTGTATTATAAATTTTACATTGTCTTATAAAATAAAAACAGTGAATATAATCACGAATTATATATTTTCAAGAAAATTATGATAACAATAAAATGATTAAAAAAACTGAGATATGTATAACTTACAAAAACAATAACGTTGATATCTCTTGCAGAGAATCTAGAAGGTTCTTCATCGTCTCCATCGCCACCACGAAACTCCAAAAGAACATCTAAGTAATCCTTCGTCCTCTCGTCGCTCATTTCTCGCTCCCTAACCTCCGTTCTTTCTTTGATAAACTCTCCGGCGATCTTAAACGCGCTTTCCACGTGGAATTGCGTTTTTCTTCTGATGCCTTGTGGGTCAATAAACCTTAGTAAAGGGAAGAAATCGGCAACGTTAGGTTTTCCGGCGAACTCCATCACTTTTCCGGTGTGGTAAAAGAACTCAGAGCCTCTTTTGGAGTCGGGATCGAGCAGATCTCTCGAGAACATGAGGTTTCCTATGAGATTAAAGGCCATCAAGAAGAAATATCTCCCCACGTCGATAGTTTTTGTACCTGATGATAAAATATGTAGAGTATATAAAACACATTTTATTAGCTTCTGAATTATATAAGTTGAAGATATATTGGGATTGTTTACGAGACTTTTGAAATTTCGAGATTAATTCTATCGATCGATGGAGAATATTAGACTATCTCTGGTTAGAAGAATATAGTATTGTACATGTTTTTGGCTAACTAAGAAGTTCCATATATTTAATTACAATCGTTAGTGAAGCCTGACCTAAACTAATTACATATTCTTGAACAATTGTTTTATGAAACGAATATTTGTTTTGTTAAAATTTTTTTTTTTTGAAAATTAGGGGTCTCAAATTTATATAGACAAATAATCAGTTTTGGTGTAGTATTATATTACTTTAACTGGAATATTAGATCCTCTTTCAATACATCTATTGAACATGCTGAAAACCGCTGTTTCTAAAAGTTGATTTTACCACGGTCCTGTGAACACAAATTAGGAAGTGTGTTCGTATTTTACTTTAGAGGTAACAAAATAAAATAATTATATACAGTTATATAATTTTTTCATGTTCATATACTTAGCACTAGATTCAAGATTTGAATATGGTAACAGTGACGTAACACTCAAACAAAAACTCTCTACTGAAAGTCTGAAACGTGCAATAAAAACGAGATGGTATTTCATTTGATGTAAAAAAAGATGGTATTTCATTTATCTAGAATATATATATTGACAAACAAGTAAAATTTTGATGATATAATTAGAAGAATACGAACCGTTTTGTCCACCTTCCTCGACAAACCGGAGCATTTGGTCAACACACTTGGAGCGTACGTCACTCATAGCATCAAGACGGCGAGTGACAAAAAACTGAGTGGTGCAGAGCCGCCGCAGCATCCGCCAATACGCACCGTATTGAGCCGTGATAAGCGAGCCTTCACTACTCTTGCCTCCTTTCATGGCCTCGTAAATCTTCCGGCCGGCCAAAGCCGCGTCGTGCTTCTTGAAAATCTCCCGAGCCACTTGGCTCGAAGAGATCACTACCGTCAGCATCGACCCGAGCCGCAAAGTCATGATTGGTCCGTGACGTCGCGAAAGTTTAGTCAATGAGTCGTGTGGCGGCGAACCGGCGAGCTGGAACATGTTACCGATCACCGGCCAGGGGTTTGGTCCCGGAGGTAGTCTCGTACGACGTCTAGTGTGGTGGAGATATGTAACGTATATTAGGAGGGCAATGGATGTAAATATTCCGATCAACTCGTTCATCGTTATTTGTTTGATCATTTTTCTTGTTTTGTTTTGATAATACAAAATACAAATGTTTTTGCTTTTATAGGCATCAGGTCTCGTTGACTTAGAAAATGTAACGTACTATATGAGGAAGAGGGTAATGGATTATTCCGATTTATTAATTGTTCACGTTTTTGTTTGTTTTTGTTTTGTTTTATAAAAATACTATAAAATTGTTAATAATTTTGTTGCTACTATGACGGATCTTGTCGCGATTATGTTAGGAATCTTTATTCGGATAATCGCTTGGAAACAGCCTGTTCTAATTAAGTTCTAACTTGTAAGCTAATTTACAGTGTAAGCCCATTAACGCATCCGATGATCATAGCAATGATGTGGGTAATTGCTTATCCCACTTTTGCTAATTTGCTGAGACAATAAAATTTGGTAGAAAAAAAACAAGAGAAGCTAAGGCCATGAATGTTTGCCTGGTTTTTAGATTTTAGTTTTTGTTTTTGGTTCAGGTTTTTGGTTTTCAGATTTTAGTTTTTGATTTTTTGGTTTTTGTTTTTGCTGTAGATTTTGGTTTTAGAAAAACTTGAATGGTAGATTAATTAGATTTTGGTTTTTGTCTATATATATATTAAAAGACCTTGATTTATATGTTTTATTTTTTAAACCCTTTTTGTTTTGTTTGAAGTGTTTAAAATTGCTAAAATAAATATATATTTTTTTAATCAGAAAACATATTTCCTATATTTTGTTTGTCTACAATTCTTTTTTAAAACGTATTTTTATAATTTTTAATTCTCATTCTTTTCATATGCTTAAAACATTACTAAAATGAATATATCAAACTCACAAAAAATTTTAAGTAGGAACTTAAATAAAAATGCACATAGACTATTTTATGAAGTTAGAAATAACAAGCACATTGTTTACATAAATGCATATGAGATTTGATTCATGTATTAAAAGTTATTAATTTGAATTTATAAATTTATTAATAAAATAATTTTTTAAAAAAAAATTAATTTGAGTATATAAATTTATCAATAAAATAATTTATTTTTAAAAAGTTAACTCACAAGATTATGAGATTTTTTTGTGTGTGTATAGTATGAGACTACTGATTTTATGTACAAAATATATTGATAACTAAGAATAATTAAATTTATATATATATATATATATTGTTAAACAAAAATCTGACAGAAAAACTCCTGAAGAGTGCAAATTGGAAGTTATTTGAAAAAACTAGTTTACCTAAAAAATAGGGAATCGATTCTATCAAAATCATGATTGGATAAAGAAATGGTTTTTTGAAAAACAAAAACCAAAATCTATTCTAAAAACTGCAAACATTCAAGTTAGAGACACCTTGAACCAAATTCCTCGGGGATCATTTGTTGATTTGCTATATTTGGCAGGGCTATATGTATCAACAGTTTCTATAATTAGTTACGAGCAAATATAGTTAATACTATCTAGAATCATTGATTTTCTAAAATATTTTATCAAGATTTTTATTTTATTTTCATCAGATTCAATCATGAAATTAATGTTTCCAAAGTTTAAGTATATATAAAAGAAAAATTTTGAAAAAATATCTTTAAAGAAGATTTTATTTTGAAAACTTCACCTTTCTTTTTTTGATAACTACACTTATTTACAAATGAAATTAACCTAAATAAAAATGATAAATTTTTAATATTTAAAACTATTAATAAAATAAAAATAAATATATAGATCTTCTAAACTATATAAAATATAATAAGTCTTTTTATCATGCTAATATCCATTGACTTTTTAGCGAGCATGTTGCTGTAAAACTTAGGATCTTTCTTATCTATCTTCACCTCCTTGTAGAGACAGTGTTTTATAACTTAACTCATCGCAGTCTTGAAATAACAATAAAGTATAACAGGCCCAGTCAAAAATCACGCACTTGTTATCAGGATCAATTTCAAGAGCTTTTTTATATCAAGCTCAGTCAAGTCTAGATCAGCCAATCAGCCATCGCCATGTACGCATGTGGTCTCCTATACATCGCCTTTTACGTTCCCATAATCCCATGTAATTGGCAAATAATTTCAAAATTTTATCTAATTATAAATTTAAAAGTATTAGATAATAATCTATCTTTGTTTATCTCAAACAATAATAATCATAATACTAATAATTTCGAATCTATTTTTTTTTACTCAATAAAGTATGTAATTTATAATTAGATTATGTTAAAAAGTCTTTTTACATATACAAAAGTGTAATTTTCAAAAAATTTATTAATAAATGGTGTATAATTCAATTTCAAAATCCTAGATAATGTATTTTGCTAATTATCCCGTTTATAAAAACCACCCGAACATATGTGATCAGTATATAAAAAGTACTAATTAAAAATAAATATTTACGATGGTGAAAAAAATCATTTACGGGATGCCGATTTTTCATCCCAATTTGGTTGAGATCCAGTGTGTAGAGAGGGATAAGAAGAGATAACACAAATTTAAATATAACAATAAAATCTCGTAGAAGCTCTAAACAAATTAAAAGTCAAAGAAAAAACTAAGTCAGAGAGATCTCGAACCAAATACGCCGGAGATCACTATAGTTAATTTACTTGCTATATTTGGCAGCACTGTATATATGTATATATATACGTATAGGTATAAGAGCTGTGTATACTATATACGCGAGAGAGAGGGCAAAAGCGAAGTGAAAACTGTTGTCTCACTGTTGTGTCTTTTTTTAAGAATGTTTGTTGTGTTCTGTTCTACTTGTCTAGAAATGGTGGTTTAAACAGACAGACCTATAACAAAGTCAGAGAAGAAGAAGAGAAGGAAGGATATCTTCAGAACAAATTAAACTTTGATTGCATGAAGAGAATTCAACGGCCATGGAAAAGGAGTGCCTGATCTTTGATTGGCTTATTTGATTTTGTTTTTTTTTATTCTTTTGAATTCTTCTTCAATTCCGAGACCCTTCTCCTTTTTTATTAAGGTAACCATCAATTTTTCCATTTTTTTTGGTTAAAGATCAATCAGTTTTTCTTATTTCCTGATTATTGTTGTTATTTTTCTTCCTCTGAATCGATATGACAAATAATATAATTTTGGGTAAAATACTCAGTTTTTCTCGAGATTTTTGCTACACTGTTAGGTTTCCAAATGGAATGGTATATAGTTTAATGACGTTTTAGTAAACTAAGAAAAGTAGATTGTTTTTAAAATCAAACTGTTGTTAATTCAATTGCATTTTCGCGATTTAGATTCTCATTGTTCTTGTTATATCCATAAACATTATAGTGCGTTCATGAGTGAGTTTCACTCTTCTACTCTTGGAATTTCAACTTGTCATACGTTACTTTTAATTCATTCGTTTGATTACTTGAAACTCGTCGAAATAATGAAAATCTTGAATGATTTGCTATGCAGGGAGGGTTTTGAGACAAAAACAAAACAAGGTTGTTATTAAAGATGAATTTCACAGAAGCTATGAATGTTGTGCACAACAGGATCCAACAACTTGAACCCGAGAATGCATCCAAGATCATTGGTTATCTCTTGTTGATGCAAGACCATAGTGATCGTGACATGATCCGTCTCGCCTTCTGTCCAGATTCCGTGATGCGTTCCATGATCAACTGTGTCAAATTCGAATTGGCCAAAAACTCTCCTTACCACATTCCATCCTCTGACCAGAATCATATCCGTAAATTCGGATCATCATTCACCGGTTTATCAACCCAATCTCTTTCGGTTTCCGTCTCTCCTCCTTCGGTTCTCTCCACTAGAACCGGTTTCTGGGAGAATCCAAACGAAATGGATTGCTTGCATAACAATGCTCAGTTCTTGAATTTTGAGGATTCCATGACCAGCCCTGAATTCTCAACCGGTTTCTTCTCCCACGAGAAGCAAGATTCTTCTTTGAGAACTAGCAGGAGATCTCCGAGTTTACCCGAGTTTCCTGTCAAAATCTGCCACTACTTTAGCAAAGGTTTCTGCAAACACGGCAACAACTGCAGGTACTTCCACGGACAGATCATACCGGAGAGAGAGAGTTTTGCTCAGATGTTCAACAACTTAAGCGACGAAGAACATGTTGTTTCCCCTGGATCACTTGAGAAGCTTGAAGGAGAGATCATCGAGCTACTTAAATCAAGAAGAGGCGCTCCAATTTCAATAGCTTCATTGCCAATGATGTACTACGAGAAGTATGGTAGGACCCTTCAAGCCGAAGGATATCTCACAGAGTCACAAAGACACGGCAAAGCTGGCTATAGCCTCACTAAGCTTCTTGTTCGCTTGAAGAACACCATCCGCCTCATCGACAGGTTAGTTAGCTAACTTAGTTACTTAAAAATGCTCCTTACCATTTCAATTTAGTGTATGTAGAGAGTATAGTTTATGTATGGAGATAACTTGGACAACAAGATTTGTCTTGTGTACCTTTAAAACCCAAATATATAGTCTAAGGGCTTTAAATTTATATTCAAGATTTGACGGTCCACAATATTTTGGTCTGCATATACTGATATCTTAATGTCCACAATACGTATTGTTTCAGTAAATGGTCTTTGTATTTTTTTGGTCAGGCCTCATGGGCAACATGCGGTTGTTTTAGCAGAAGATGTATCAAAGTTTGTGGAATATACAGGAGAGAGGAACGAACACGGAGCGATCCTTGCAGGTTCTAGACAGATTTACCTAACATTTCCGGCAGAGAGTAGTTTCAGTGATCATGATGTTTCAAACTACTTCTCCAAATTCGGACTAGTGGAAGATGTGAGGATTCCTTGTCAACAGAAGAGAATGTTTGGGTTTGTAACTTTTGCGTACACCGAGACAGTTAAACACATTCTTGCTAAAGGCAATCCTCATTTCATCTGTGGAGCTCGTGTTCTCGTCAAGCCATACCGAGAAAAATCACGCTCGAGTAGATACTTTGACAACAACAACAAGCCTTTGCATGACATCCGATATGACTCTCAATATATTGACAGAGACATCGAGATGAACACTTGTAAGTACATTCTCAAAATCTTTTCTTTTCTGTGTGTATATATATATACTAATGATCTTTGCTTTACGGTTTCATTTAACTGTTTCTTTTTTGTTGTTTAAGTGCCACCGCGGGTTAGTGAGAGCTCAAGACTAATGAGGAAGCAGTTTCTTGAGGAACATGAGCAATCTATTTCTAAGTCCTTACCTAATAATTACTCCTATCTCGGCTTCTCCTCCAACGATTTCAAGCTAACAACAGAAGGTAATTATACCTCGATCTTTTTACAGTCCCACTTTCAGAAATACGGATCATTAATTTCTTAGTTTTTTATTATTTTATTTTCTAGAGGAACAAGAAGAACAAGCAGGACGATTGAGCTATCTGCTGGATTATCTAAACACGGAAGATAATGTCATGAACATAAGTACTAATAACTACCAAGACATTGATCGGTATGCATTGACTCTAATCTTATTAACAAACATATTTTTTCAGATTTTTTTGTATGATCATATGAGTTATTGTTTTATCCAGGAGGATGCATTGTGAATCTTTGGATAGTCAGGTCCTAAATCTGCCCGAGAGTCCATTTTCTTCCCTTTCCGGGAAGGAGATTTCGACGGTTACATAGAGAGAGAAAAAGAGAGAGAAAGTGATACCGTACCAAAAGGAATAATGAAGATAGGAGCATAAAGGTTAGAGAAAGTTCCCCAAAGTATAATAAAACCATCCATCGCCAAATAGACATTTCTTTCTTTTTCATTATCTTGTTTTGGGTTTTAGATTGTTTGGTCGATGGCATGAAAACTTTAGGTTCTTTAGCAATTTAGCAATAGCTTCACAGATTAAGAAAGAAGGAGACAGAGAGGTACACAACATAAAGGAGCTGTTTGCTTCAACTACAATATGAGACTAGCAGTTTCAGAAACATGAAGTACAGGGATTATGGTAATACTAATTGAATTAAACGTTTTATGATGGTTGCTTTTTATATTTGTTTTTAACATTTGTTAGCAAGGCTGGATCATATTTCCATTGTATCATATGACAATCCGTTTTAGCTTTAAGGACAAGTTTTAGAAAAGTATGTGCGTGGTTTTGCATATTTAATAAAAACGTGGAGACCAGATAAAACTATGAATAAATTTAATGTTCTAAAATGCTATGATCACGGGTTAAAATGTTGTTTTTGTTTGTTAAAGTCAAAATGTTGTATTTTACTCGTAGTTAACGATACCAAACCAATAAATAGTAATGTTGAATGCTAATGAGCCACCAATTATATTTGTGTTCTCGTGTTCTTGTGTTCCATATTAAAATTGTAAAACATGCGATATGTACCCACTCGACATCTATATATCCGGATAATTAACTTTATTGCCGACCAAAGTTTGCACACCCACTAAACTATGCATGTGAATGTTATTTGAACCCTTGCCCACGAAATTGAACTAACGTTGATGAATGATTCTCCACGTGCCTTGGTCTTGAACCCTTGTCCACGAAACAACTCATTTTGCTTATTTCATACTTATTTAATTTCCATGGTGTACAGTAAAACACTTTTATTTGTTTCCAATCCTCTAGTTTTTGTTTGATACTAATTTAAGGCCTAAACTTTCGTTTCACATTCAACTCTCCCATAATATTTATATTTTATAAATACATAAATATACTGAAATGTTATCTGATAAGAATAAAATTTCAGGTTGGTAAAATTAGAATTCAGTTTACATATCCTTGATGATTATATATTTTAAAATTTTTTCTTTGTTTTTGGTACAACATATTTGTTGGATTTTAGTTCAGTTTATATACACTAAAGTAATGTTATGAATGTGCTAAAGTAATATATGAAGGTCTGTGTAGATAAAATTCCTAAAATAAATCAATGTTTAATCTCTGATTGATTTCTATATTTTTGGTTAATTAGGTGCAATACCTATTTTGAACGTCCAATTAACATCTAACAACTAATTTAACATGACTTGATACTATAGAAATGACAAGCAAGTTATTAACAAAATTGAGAAAGCTTTTTTTTTTTTTTTAAGCTATTATTACTTTGAAAGGTGATGGCTCTTGCAACTTTGACATCAAATCAAGATCGAGGAGCCTCGTCTAAGTCCTTCCCATTTTAATGGGCTCGCCGAAGTTATTTGGGTACCTCTTAGTTTATTGTCTTATATGCAATGTTTTGAGACCCGGACTGGACCGGCCGGTCGGCCCGGTTAACCCGGGATCCGGCCACTACTCCGGTTTGGATTTAGTGTTTAAATCCGGAAGATATAAACCAGGAAAAATCCAAAAAAACTGCTATTTATCCGCGACCTGGTGAACCGGTTAAACCGGCCAAGTCATGGTTTAGAAAGTTTATCTGAAAAAAATAAATTGGCCCCAAAGTAAAGATCCATTAGGCTAATCATATATTAATGTGTCGACAAAAACCGAAACTGTTGGACGTTTGTATTAAAATAGGGTTTTTGGGCACTTTGGTTTATTTTCGGATTCGGTTTGAGTTCGGTTCGGTTTTGTTAATTCGGGTTCAATAAAATTCTATCCAAACTCAACTGAAATAAGTTTGGGTCGGTTTGAATTCGGTTTGGTTTAACTCGATTTGGTTTTAGTTTGGTTTAGTTTTAATTCAGTTTTTAAAAAATCAGTTTGAAGAAAAGAAATGGTGTGTTGGTTTAGGTGAAATTTCACATTTCACCATATTTCAAAAAACTAATATTATGAACTAATTAAAAAGTTAAATAAAATTAGTATATTAGTTTTTTTGTTTGGTTCGGTTTAAAACCAAACCGAACCAAACTGTTCGGGTTGTAAAAAACTTCAACCAAACAGATTATATATTAAAAATGGATCGGTTCAGTTCGGTTTAAGTTTGGTTGGTTCGGTTTGGTTTTTTTGCCCACCCCTAGTTTTACAAGTGTATTTTAAGCCATATTTTCATTATTTTCAAGTTTAGTTTCTTTTAACGGGAAGTGGGAAGTTTCACAATCGATTCGTGACTCTCTCCTAAAACTCTGATTTCTCTTCTTATTTCTGTTTGCTTCAAATTATTTATTTGTTGTGGATTTGATCTCTGTTTTTTAGTTGTTCTTAGATTTAATCCGCTTCTCCGACTATTAATTCTCAAACAGTTAATTATGTACTTATGTGGTTTTTGTTTTTAGGGGTACTTGCACAAATAACCCACAATTTGAAGTCAAATGCAAAAGTAACATTTTTTTTCTCCCTCTTTAATAAATGCCACTTTCTCCCTACTATCTCTTTACAACCACATATATTCACAAAAATGCCATTATATTTTTAATTTTTGTTTTTTCTTAAAAATACTAAAAAGACACAACCATCCTAAAATATATCATTTATTTACGAAAATGCCATCTTCTTCAATTTTGCCAACCACCATTACCAACCAGTTTTGAAGCTTTAAATGTTTGTCCAACCAATTTTGAAGCTCTAAATGCTTATTATGTCGCTTATAACTTCATTTTACCTACAAATTTATCTCCAATTTCATCTAAAAAACTCTTTCATGCTCATTTTTATAAATTCCAATTTCATAAATCATCTATTTTTGGAGATTCTTGCATAACAACGACTTAGCTAGTTTGTTATCGGTGCTATACAAAATTCTGGGTGTTTGTCAAAGTTAATCGAATTTAAATTGGAAGTAGGTAAACATCTACTTCATTTTCTTTAACATTTAGCTCTGTTTCGCGAAAGCAGACTTCTTTTTCAGTCTGCTAGTCAACGCAGAGGTTAGATTTGCAATTGACTTTTTTAATATTTGTGTAAGCATTTGAAGTCTGCGAATTGTCCTTTGTAAACAAAAAAAATCATGTAGACTTCTTTTGCAGTCTGCGAGAAGAAAATGTTATTTTTGCATTTGACCAAAAAATTGAAGAACTTTGACTTTTATAGCAGACTTCTAAAGAAGTCTGCTATTTCGTAATTTGACTCGAGAGGTTATTTTTGCAATTGACCAAAATTTTGACAACTTTTGAATTGAAGTCTGCTACAAAAAAATAAATAGCAGATTTCTTTTAGAAGTCTGCTATTTATTTAATTAAGATTCGGTCAAATGCAAATCTGACCTACAAATGAAAGTCAACCTTTTGGTCAATTGCAAAAATAACCTTGAGTAAACTTCTTTTGTAGAGTAGACTTCATAAGCAGACTTCTTTACTATAGCAGACTTCTTTTACTCGTCAAGAAGTCTGCTTTAAAAGTCAAACTTTTTGGTCAATTGCAAAAATAACATTTTCTTCTCGCAGACTGCAAAAAGAAGTCTACTACGAAAAGTCAAATATTTGGTCAAATGCAAAAATAACCCTTTTTTTTAGAAGACTTCAACGTGAAATTTCCCCGGCGGATTTTGAACGGATGTCTGTATTTTTTTAAAATTTTAAAATGCATTTTATAAATTATTTGTAATGTCTTTTTTTAATTTTAAATTGTAAATGCATTTTATGTATGATTCTTGCACCTGTATGAGTTTGGTGTGTTTATGTGTTATAATTATAAAGTTATGAATTTTTTTGGTTTGAAAGGTAATTAGCACATCTAAGCAGACTTCTAAAGAAGTCTGTAGATGAAGTCTACTGTTACGTATTAGCATATCATAGCAGACTGCATACGAAGTCTGCCTAACTTTTTTTAAAAAAAATTCATTTTTGAAATATTTGTTACTTGTAAAAATGATTTTCTTGTTTTGACATGTTTATTTGTTTTTTGTGTTGCATCTATATGAGTTTGACGTTGTTATGTGTTATAATTACAAAGTAATGAATTTTCTTGTTTGATTTATCTATTTTTGCAGACTTCTAAAGAAGTTTAGAAGTCTACTTCCTTTCAATTATTTTTATTTGTTATCGTTCTTGCATTTGTATAAGTTTGAAAAATCAGTTATTCTTGCATTTACCTGTCATGGTTTGTCCTCAACTTTAACTATTGGCCACTTTTGTTAACGGTCTTGATAGTATATAAATTACTTTATTAACGCGTACAACGTTAACAAACTCTTGTGGTCTGGTGGAAACAGACCCACTTGTTGCCCAAAGTACGTGGATTCGAACCATTATGCTTCCAATTTTGGTTATTCTTTTTGTTTTTAAAAAGGGCATATTTGTAATTTTGTTTTCGTCTTCTACCTAGGTTTTCGAGTTCTGCAATTCTTTTTCGCGGCCGCAAACCAATTTTTTCACATAATCAGTCAGTTTTTTGCATTATTCTTATTATTCACACCTAAATCTTATAGATCTGGCATACATATATTGATTTCAAGTCTTAAACGAAGAAAAAAATGAATTTTTAAAGAATTTGATTTCAAGTCTTAAACGACTAATTGGTCTTGGCGGCCGCTTTTTAGAACATGGGATACAGACAATGGATCCGAGAGAAAGAAAATAAAATAGGAAAAGGATGAGAACAATACACTGGAAAAAGCCTCTGTGAAAAAAAAAACAAAAAACTTAAAAAAGAAAGGGACTAATCTAAGAAAGAAATCAGCTTGTGGTCATGAATGTAATTGCTCTGATGACAAGCTGTTGGTAGAGAGCCACAAGAGCTGCACCAACGAATAGTCCCACCCAGAAAATCCACTGCAATAACAAAGAAAAC